CTCGAACCCTGGACCTCTCAAATATGCTTCTAATTACATTACAAAGGCATGCGGGAAAGAGGGAAAAGATGCCTTATTTAACTAGAGCTACAGAAAACTAAAAGCAATCAAATAACAGACAGAATATTCGATGAACATATACTGTAAGCATCTCAGATAGATAACAATGGAGGGATATAGGTTTGGCTTGATTTATTTAGTTATGGCAAAGCACATAAGGGCTAATTGCCTGAAGGATGTCTTCGTAGAGGACTTTCTAAAGGAAATACTTTCGTAATCACATACATGTGGAAATACACTAAATGCCCATGCATCTAGGCTGTTCGCCTGGAATCGAACCCACGAGAGGAGATACTGATTATATTAAACTGCAATATGTTATTAAGCTCGGAAGTTCTTAAAAATACACATAACTATTTAAACTTTCTTAAAATTTGCTTTTTATTGATTGTTTCTAGTATACTTAAAAATAAGAGGAAAAAAAAAAAAAAATTGCATGTCAACTAATGAAAAAATTTTAATTGCAGTTGTGCTTCAGAAAATAATGCAACCTTTTAATATCCTGCAATTCGAACTTTCGGGAACATGCGATAGCATTCAAGGAGAAACTGAGCTATTAGAATCTGGTTTGTGGAATCGCGCAAGTCGCAGCTACGATGGGTGCCATGTTCCATGAGGCCTCTAAATGATTAATTAACATTAAAAAAACTAGTAAACACATACTGTGTCTCAAGATGAAGAGCTTCCAAAAAGTACTGTTGTTTTAAAATTCGCTACTGTACGTCATAATAAAATTAATTGAAAAATAGCAGTTTTTAATTTAATTCTATGCACTTTTGGGAAAATATCTCATGAAGCATTAAAGCAGATTTATGGAGTTAACTCTGTCAGCATATCCACAAATGATATCCAAGTTTCCATTAGTCTCAAGATGTCAAAGTCAATGAATGTAGCACTTGATCATACGAAATGTTAAGCAAATTTCACAAGTTTTTGCAATGGCATGAGCCAGTAGACTGTAAGCGATACAGAGAATATCTGCCATTAAAAAGGCATTTTTGAATTTTAAAGTACTGTTCTGTCTGAATCTCAGATAAAGATAAAAAACTTGTGAATGTTGTTCCATGACTTTTTTGTTTATGTGTCGCTTTTACTTTCCGAATTTCTTGCCGAACAAGAACTCTTCCGCAATCCACATAAAGCATATTCAATTGGTTTCACACAGGTGAAGTTGATTATTGAGTTAATCGTCAGTGGTTTTCCAATGCAAAAAATGCTAGCTGAGCTTATCTTCCTCCTTCAAAGCTGCAACTCTATATGCTCGACTCAAACGAGTTGAAAACGGCAACACTGGATAAAATGAAGAACAAATAGAAGAATCAATTCTGAAAGTGCTTCTGCACTATTAATTAACTAGCTTTCACATGCAGTGATGGAAATATATTACTGTGGATATGCAGATAAATGTGTAAATAACTGGATGACCTCCAGAAAAATGTTTCGATAGTTCAATATTTGGATTGGTTTTAAACATGATGCTAAAAAACAGAATTTAAATACCTTCTAGTCAAACAAGAAAATTATGATGATGATTATCCCAATCAAAATTTATGTGCTAAGCAAATCCATTTCTTTTTTCATTGCAATAATATTTTTATCGGATTTTATTGCTTGCTACAGTTTGAAGGAGTTTTTCCAAGGGAAACTGATTTAATTTGAATTACACATATGTAAAGTCTGAAAATATTCCCACAGCTGATTCACTATTTCATTGGTAAGCAAATCCAGTATTACAATGTATTGAATGGTTTCAGTCAACCGTTTACGGCAGTGATTCTCAACTAATGTGCCATGAAATCCTTAAAGTGTACTGTTATTTTAAGCATTTTTACAATAAAAATTATTTTATACATACATATATATAGTCTGACTGTTTCCCTTAGAAAGTCATCCAACAAAGGCATCCCTTCCCTTAAGCAGATAGGCCTAATGTGCTTTGCCATAATCAACTAAAACAAAACAAGCAAACATATAGTGTGATTGCTGTCATGTAATTCAAATGTTTTTTTGCGTGTATGATTTACCTAAACCTTAATGTCACAACACACCACTGTGAATACCCATATACAGTCAAAAGTCTTTAATTCGGACGTCCATAATCCGGACCTCAAAGCTACAATGCATTTATGCATGCGTGTTTAAGGTATAACGGACGGTATAAGCTAAGCTAAAACTATCTAATTCAATTAATGTTGCAGTTTGCGTTGTGCCTTAATCTTCGAATTGGATCCGGCTTATTATTTTTTGCAGACAGTTAGAGCAATTTTATAAAAAGTAAGCTTGAACTTTTGATTATGTCAAAAAGAGTTTCCAATTCTGGAGCTGCCAAAGTATCTACAAAGTGAAAGCATGTTTTGATGTCCATTAAACAAAGCGGAATTGCTGCAAAAAATGGATAAAAGCATGAAGAAAATGACAGAGAGGTGATTTGTTTCTCTAACCATTCCGAAATCTGTTTATCAATTTCACGCTGCTCTACGGGGTGGGGTGTACTGAGCATATTCTTCTATGAAATGCATAGGAAAAGCAAAAAGTCAGTAATCACTTAATATTTGATTAGAAATCAAATGCTATAGATAGACGGCAGATTGAAAACTAACCAAAAATGCAACAAAATATATGTATACATTATTTTGTTAATAAATTATGGATATTTTCTTTTGTGCAGATTATGGCTGAAACCTTCCAAATGAGTAATAAAGCATTCAATTCAGCCTTTAAGATTTTACCGAAAAAGCACAGTAAGAGATGAAAAGCAGAGTTACCACACAATAGTAAAATACTACTTGAAATTGTGCAGACAGAAGGAAAAGAAATTTTCTTTTTTTAATTTAAGTTCACATGAAACGCAATAAAATGTTAAAACATGATCCTCGTTCACCAATGCAATATAATACCTAAGCAAGTATAATTTTTTGTTATGAGTTATAGTCACAAATTAAATGTGAATGAGAAAGAGATTAGAAAAGCGAAAATTAGTAATATTTTAACACAGGACTACGAATAAAATCTTATAGATAAGCAAATGGTTTGAAAGTTAATCGAAAACATATAGAAAAATACATGTATAAATTATTCTTCATAATAAGTTATGAATATTTTCCTTTTAGAAGAACAAAGTCAAAACCTTCCAAACTGGCAATGAAACACTCAATTCAGCCTTTAAGATTACTAAAATTGCAGTAAAGGCTATTGGGTATCAGTAAAAAATCATTTTGAATTCTGCAGATAGAGGAAAAAGGTGACCCTTTTGAAACATTCGCTTGCTATGTAATAAAATTACAACCCTGGTCCAATGTAATACAGTGGTCATATACAGTTAATTGTTCATTTCGAATGTGCTAAAGGAGTAATTTTTGAGTCAAAGAGAAACATTTTACAAAATAATGATTCTTATTCTCCTAGTAACTTAAATTAAAAAATAATATTTTTTACAAAGATATTTATATTTTTTTAGACATGCTTCTTATGAAATTAGTATACATTTTTTTCAAAGTCTATGGTAATGCAAGTTAGTGATCATGAAAACTTACAGAAAAAATTCAAAGTCCACATGAAATGGTTTAAAATCTCCATTACCTGCATATGAATATATCAGTACCAAAGAAATGTAATCTATCACAGGACACTTAGATAAATTCCATTCAAGATGGATCTTAAAACACATAAAAAATTATTAAATCAACCAATGTAGCAATTTAGTAAAATTTGCTCCCAAACGCTTAGAAGGAAAAAAAAAAAAAAGAAAGAAAGAGAGGGGGAATTACAGGAAAATAAATGAAAATTTGATGATTAGTAGCGGTACTAATGTAAAAAAAAAAAAAAAAAAAAAAAAAAAAAAAAAAAAAAAAGAAAGAGAGGGGGAATTACAGGAAAAAAAATGAAAATTTGATGATTAGTAGCGGTAAAAAAAAAAAAAAAAAAAAGAGAGAGAGAGAGAGAGGAAAACAAACAATACATTCGAAGTGTCAAAAAGGTTACTGATAAGGAATCTCCTAAAAATTTTTCTTTTAAAAATATGATACAGCAGTTATTCACAATTTGATAGTTTGAAGTACATTATGTTCCAAAATACATAAACACATATGATTAAACACAAATAATAATGGTAGAAAAAATGTATGCACATAAGTAACTGAACTGAAAAATACACCCAATAAAACAATTCTTAAAGTTCTAACGAATATTACAGTTAAATCAAAGATAAGCCTTAATTCAAATTTAAATATGATAAATACTGCAAAATGTATGTTTGTATTTAAATATTATCAAGTGTTTTTATATTTCAATTATACAATTCTGCTCTGTTTTACACATTGAGCCCCAATTGCAATTGAGATACAATTGCAAATATGGCTGAAACAGTCTAATGCAACAATTATCATTATGTACACTTTTTAAACATGTTAGCATTTGCATAGCCTCATTTCTGCTTCAGCAAAGGTGACTTTTAAATTTATTTTACCTATTCTATTTTTGCTTTCAGAACTGGACAATTCTATCTCTGCTTTCTGACCACCCTAAATTTCCTCAAATTGTGAATAACTACAGTTCAAAATTAAAAAATTTTCTACATCTGAATCACAATTTATATAATATATGATGTCTTTCACAGAATAACAATATGTTATGTAGGTAAATTGACAATTTCCCATTCCTCATGTTATTCTCATGCATTATCTTTGTAACAATAAGATACAGTCATTGATCAGCTAAAACACTGCAGCTTCTTCAGACTGGCTCCATAGCTTCCAGAACACTACTTAGTTTGCGGACATCATTTTCAGACAATTTCTATATTGGCAAAACAATATGCATAAAAAAGTAGATACTTATTTTATTTTAAAAGATATTATTAACTTCCATGAAACATCTCAAATTACAGAAAATCTGTCACTAAATCACGTAATGCTAAATTTTTTTTTAAGTAATACCATTACTTATTTTTATAAAATCTTTTATTAACAAAATATCATATTCTAAAAACTAAGTTCCATATTTCTTTTTCCATACTGGAGGTGGTAGTGATTCTAGAATGCGACTGGAAGAAATCTGTACTACTACTAGATCATCTGCAAATGAATGAATGCTTGAAATGTGCTGCAAGAAAATAAATATAAATTAGACCTGTATGCAATAAGGGCAGGTGCACTGAAATTATTAATATTTTTCAAATCACTTACTTCATACTTAGAAACAGTCTGAAAAGTTGTATCACCGTACGTTATTTCTGTATCATCTGTCCCTTTCATTTTCTTTTTTACAAATGGAAGCTGAAACAGAATTTAGTCACAGTTAATAATTTTTCAGCAACATTAAGAATTGGTTCATAATAGGAAGTGAAAATAATAATATAAAAATTAAGCTATTTTTAAAAGCATACCATAGCTGCAAACCTTGAAATATTTAAAAAAAAAAAAAAAAAAAAAAAAAAAAGAGATTTCTGTACCAAAAAAGGAAGATTTCTGTGCCAAAAAAAGAGTTTCTGACAGTCCTGCTATGCAACCATTTACCAACTATGACAATTACCATTTCAAGGAACCCCAAACTGTTATAAATTCACTTTATAATGATTGATTTAGATTATTAAATTATTCATAATGATTCTGATATAAACTATATCAATTAGATAGATGTTTGTTGACTAATATCATTTTGCTGTTTTCTTACACTTTTATGACAAGAAAATTTTTACTAGGGAAGGGGAAAATCTTTTATTTATGAAAGTACTTTTAATTATGGTGAAAAAATAATAATTACAGTGCATAGATTAATTATTAGTATTACTGTGCACATAAACTTAGTAATGTGACCTATACTGATGTAAAAGAAAATTAAATACAAATATTAACAAATTAAACATTGACTGAAACTTCATAAGAAATTTTGAAAATGTTTACAGCAGATTTACACAATTCAGGTGGAATAAAATTCAATAAGAAAAATTATGCTGAAAATCACTATAGGTGGGGGATGAAATTTGTACAACCTAAGTTTCACTAATTCAATAAATTTCATTTATTACTGGAAAATATTTTCCTTGTTAAAGGCTAAGAATTGAAAACCTCAGGAGATTTTGTAGTCTGCCAGCAGACTAGGAGATGTGATGAAAAACCTGGAGTTTTCTGGGAAAACTGGGGAGTTGGCAGTTTTTCCAGAAAGGCAATATATGGCATATGCATACTTTTTTACAATATTACAAAAAAATTACATACTTCACATCAACTCTTTTCATGAGTCTATCTACAGTTTTAAAAGGGGAAAAATATACCTAATATAACATTTTATTTTATAATATAAATTATTTTATTCACAAGCCATTATTTGTATTAACCTTTTGTTACTAACCTAACACATAATTTAATTCTTGGCTGCATAAAAACAACAGAAAATTACGGAAATAAGACCTTTTATGAATCTCCAACGTGAAGACATATGCACTTTGGTTAATAGTTTTAAAATTTATTTTGTGGGTAAATTTCCTTTTTGTGTAGAACAACAAATCCTTCAATTCTGAGTTTAACAATGTTTAAACTGTAAGAATAACTCAACTAGAATGCAAGCTGTAGGAAAAATGCTCCTGACAGCTTTCAGAACCCATTCAACACCATATAAATATGGCTGCAGTAGTCAAGGGTAGTCAATTGTGAATACACTCTAAGACTTTGTGACTCAAAGAGAGTAAACTGAATTGCATTTTAGAGTTTACTCTGCAAGTGATTCTGCAAGTGATTTGCAAATTTAAGATATTTCACACGTACTTAGAAGGAATTGCTTAATAATTGTTTTCCTTGAACTATTTACAGCTATATTATTTTGTTATTTGTCATTGTTACTTATATCAATTTCTTCTAAAGTCATCAATTTCTTCTTGCTTATGTGGAATGGTTATTCAAAGAGACAGCCATGAATCCACAGCTTGTAACAATACTATTTACATAACATTTCAATGATATAATTATCTTTGCTGTTTTCATAACAGCCACAACCTGAAAACTAGCATCCTATGACAGTGGATCACAGGAACAGAATTATTTAACTTTTGGTCTCTACAATGATAATTAACACAAGGCATGAAATAATTACATGCATAATAATATTTAAAAAAGTAAATTACTAATTGTTAATAAAACACATCATAATGTGACATCTGTTTTGAATTACACCAAAATTTCAAAATAAAAATACTACTTTACCAGATGTGAGCCAGATTTAATGGTCCAAAGAGTGACAGGCAACTAGTGAGGCTTATTTTGGCCATATTAAATATACGGTACAAAGTCCGAACTCCGGACGTCCATTATCCAGAATGATCTAAAATCCAGACCTAAAATCACCAACAATGTTTTCTTGTAGGCTTTACGCATGTGCATGTGATTTCCCCCTCCGTGCATAATAAAACATCTGGATAGTCCCGATTCTTAATTTCACTTCGACACTAAATAAAATAGCACCTTGTTATTGAAGAAACAATCATTTTAGCATAAATTTGTACGATCAGTACTTTGGCTCTGTTGCTGCATATCTGCTTGGCATACATCTCAAACCGAAACATTCCACATAGATACATCATTGATCTGACGCCAACCTGGCAAATCACTATTTATTATACTTTCATTTCATCAATGCATGTTTATCAAAACATGACAAATTGAGTAATGACTCATGTAACGATGCCTAAGCAATTTTTTAATGTTAGTAATTGAATAATAAAGGAGTGTGATAACCTTTTATGTTGACATAATACTTGACGATGATTACAGATTTAAGTTAAATGCGCTAAAATATGTTGATGGGGGAAAAACTTATCAAAATTTCTTTTCGTATGCTAAAAATTGATTTTGTTGATGATACTCATAGACCCAAAGATTACATTTAGGGCTATTTGAATTAAGAATAACTGATTTGTTATTCACATAAACCCAGAACCTGCGCCAGGGCTCATATGGCCGCATCGAGCTTCAGAATTTAGGACCCACAGAGACTGCATGAGGCAGTACGATATCTAGTGCTGGCCCTCAATAAGCAGCTCACCATAGAACTCTGATAAGCTTTAAGCATGTGCAAGAAAGAGATATAATATAACAAGTAACTAAACTAATACAATTCACGTTTACTTGTCTCAGTGCGCGTTAGAAGCTACATAAAATTTAACGGAACAACTTGTCGTTAGTCGTCAAGCTCATGATGCATAGCCAAATATGCATTGTGAAGAATAGCTAAATTTGATGATGATAGACGCTAAGTTTATATGTTTTTGGATATCGCAAAGCAAAGGTGAAATTTTCCAATTAATGTATTTTTTAAAAAAGGTGGAGAAGTCGTAATAAATGAAGATGATATGAAAGAAGATTTTCATTGTGATGACAATGCTTCTCAATCATCAATCAATTAATGAATGGCAAAATCTGTAGTATGGTTCTAGATCCAGAAAATACCACTACCGATAGTGAAGAACTGACAGAGAAGTTACTGAAAACGAGAAAATTTCGATTGACAAGCTAGTCAGAATTTTTGGAATAGCAGCTACAAGGCTTCAACAATGCAATTAAACAAGATATGATGCCTGTCTACAGAATTAAAGAGAAAGTATTAGCACAAAAAACAAAGCAATTTACATTGAAAGAAATGTTTAATAAGGTAAACAAATAAACATTAAGCTGTTTTTTTTTTTTTTTTTTTTTTTGTTTTTTTTTGTTTTTGTAAATTTTGATACTTTTTAGATCATAAATACTTCATTATTTTATAAATCACAATTTCATATTTTTAATTTTATAATTTCTACATGTCATCTTACTAGATTTAAACTTATGACTAATGTCCGGAAATATCACATATCTGGAATCGCCGAAGTCCCAACGACTCCGGATTTCGGACTTTGTACTGTATATGTTTCTAATATTTTAAATCCCTTTTGGTTTCTTCAGATATTTCTAAGGATAATCTTCAGAAGATAGTTCTATCAGAAAGACTTCTGGGCAACAGAATCCTTTATAAATATTTTCAGAGAACCAAAAGTGAAATAAAAAAAAATTAAGCTATTTAGGATAACTAAAAGACTTGTTGACACTGGTTATCTTTGGCTTTCAGACAGATTAAATGCACTTAAAAAAATATTTTAAAAAATTCAGATGCAAGAATAATGCATATAATTAACATATAAAATAAAAATGTTTCTCTTACTTCTTCCATTTTGTCAAAGACATATATGGCATTTTCATCTTGAAAATATAATTTATTTGAACAAAAACAAACTGATGTAATGGGATGAAATGAAGCAGTCTGAAGATCAAGTAGAACTCTTTGTTTTGACCAATGTGAATAAGCTGATTTTTTTAAATTATATTCAACGACCTGTTAAAAGTATATATATAATATACACAAATATATATAATATACACATTCTTGCAAAAGAATTAGTTTACATAAGTATGTAATTATAAAGTATAACCTAAGAAGCAAAGATATATTTTACTTAATAATCACATATATTTTATTTTATACATTTTAAAGATTTGATAAAATAACAGAAATTCTGAAATATATGGATAGCATTTTCTATTTCTGAGTAGGTAATCAACAGAAACTGCATTTTTGATCTTGAACTAATATTCCAAAAATATCTCATCAAGACTGAATTAAGACAAAAACTTAAAAGAAACCCAAGCTGAATTAACTAAAGTAACTTTATATAGTCTTAAACATCTAAAATGAAATATGCTCCTAAGCTTTTAATATTCCCATTTTTTTATTAGAGACAAAACAGGAACCTTACTGGTCGCTAAGTCATCTGTTATCTTTTATCAATAATGAAAATCAGGTAACTTAAAAAAGCTAACAAAGAATAATCTGAAGCAAGAAGTACAATAGCACTTCTTCCATCTGATTATTTTTTTATTAATTTGGAATTGTTGTTTGGCAGTTTATGAAAGAAAGGACATAAAATTCAAATTCATTTTTGTGTCACCTTTTTCATAAATATCATGTAGAATTTCATTTTTCTGTGACATCTATCTATATCATGCAAATCCTGTGTCACATAAATTTTCAGTTCTCTCTCTTTTTTCTTTAAAACATGTTGAGAGAGAGCTCACTTTTTGTCTCTTACTTATTTTCTTTCTTTTCTGTGGGTATTTCTGTGTAGTTGGATTAACCATTAAGCAAAATAAGCATATGCTTAGAGCATTAGCAAAAAGGGGCATAACTGTTAAATATTCATTTAAAAGTGATTCTTTCACTCACTAGATGATGCCACGGGTTTCACTGAGAAAATTTAAACCTTATTTTTTTGGCATACTGGCTACAGTTAGTTACAGTTCGAACATGTAAGAAATGTGAAGAGTTAGGCAGTCTGGCCCATCTGTTAATTTTACAGCCACAAGTAAGAAATAGATACAGATGGAGGACAAAATAGTATGTACACCTGTGAAATAATGGAAAATCTTTATTAATACGGGATTGGACCACCCTTTGACTGAAGTACAGATTGAATGTAATGTGGGACAGATGCATTATGTCTTGGACAATATTTAAAGGAATATTAAGCCATTCCTCCTGCAGAGTGGTCTCTAATTCCAAAAGTCTGGATGGAGGTGGAAATCAGGAACGAAGTTTGGACTCCAAATATGCCTATAAATGTTCAATAATATTCAAGTTCAAAGACTGAGGGGGCCAAGCGAGATGTTCAATTGCATCGTCATGCTCTTCGAACCATTCTCGAATACACCCTAGCAGTGTGGATAGGGGCATTGTCAACTTGAAAAAGCAGTCACTCCCCAAGGAATACAGTTTGGACAAAAGGATGGACTGATCCCTTAGAATGCTTAGATAGTGATTGGATGTGGTCCTCCCATGTAGAATAACAAGTGGCCAAAGACCGTGCCAAGATATCGCATCCCATACCATAATGGCGCCACCCCCATGCTTCACAGTCGGCAAGAGGCAGTCCGAAACGTTTCTTTGGGAGTTCTCCATACATAAACATGTCTAGTCATCTGAAATAGGGTGAATAATGATTCATCTGACCATATTACCTGTTGCCATTGCTGTGGGGACCAGCCTTTGTGATCTCCGCACCACTAGTGTCGCTTGAAAGCATTAATTGTTGTTCCCAAGGATTTACGAATTGCCCCGCTGCCATAAATGTTCGCAGCATGAAGTTCCCTCTTGACAGTTTTTGTTAACCCGTCTATCCCTATCAGCCAGCTTTGACTTTCGGCCACTGTTGCGCTTTGATGACATCGTCTTATCCTCTTTTGTGTACACTGTCATAACGGCTGATACCGCACTCCTTGCACACCCCACAGGGTTTCCTGTTTCCATAACCGATGCTCCAGTTAAACACGCTCCAAATATCATTCATCTTTGGAACTCTGAAAGGTCTGACATTTCAACTTCTCACAGACAGTTTGATCGAAGTATGCAACGCAGGTGAGTGCTGTTGAGAGACTGATACCTTCCTCTTCACGGCTCACTAGGTGACAGACTTTTGTTGCAGGCGGCGTGGCTGTACTGAAGGTGTGAAATACATCATGCCTTTTCACAGGTGTTCGTGTTATTTTGTCCTATGTGTGTAAAGGCTGCAACACTTGAGAAAATAGCAGTGAAATATTTGTTTAGCAGTTTAGTTAAATATTTGTTTTTCCTTTTCAAATTTAACGTGATGTGTGAATGGAAATGTGGTGTAAAGAAATAAATTGTGCTTCCTTGGAGAAGATTCTTCTTTCAACTGAGATTTTACAGTCCCTGCAAACAAGAAAAAGTAATGAAGTTTTTTCTTACTTTTAAAACATATTAATAATAGAACCTGCATATGTCAGTAGATGCTGACAACAGTAGTTGATGAATTACAATAACAAAAATGTGCTACGAGACTGAAGGAAGCAGGACACCATAAATATTTCTTATTTCCAGTTTTATCAATGTATGGTGCAATTAAAACAAAACCAAGAGAGACAGATTGGAAAAAACAACCATTATACTCCATATGAATGTGGGAACACCAAAATCTTAAATGCTTATTAGGGCCTCTAGAAGCCTTAATGTGAACCTGGGTGTAACTGAAATAGTTGTTACACTAAGAACAGCAATTGCAGTGAATTTTTTTCTTACCTATTAAAAGAGAAAGTAATGATCGAGAGAGTTTTTAAGGATAATAATGGTTAAAATATGCAGTTGTAAATGGCATTTCAAAACATACAAAATATCAGCTGAATTTTGACTAAACTTGTCCTCAACAGAATTGATGAAATTGTTACAAAGTTGTCCCCAAGGATAGCCATAATTTCAGTGATTTGATGAATTCTTTTGAGGCTGATTCCTGTATAATGACAATATCTCTAATCACACAGTATACAATATCCAGCAATATAGCGAAATAAAATGATAACCATCTTCATCCTTTCTATTTGCTTTGTTTCTTCATATTTTTGTTAGTATTAACAAAGCAGAAATAGAAAGAAAAATGTTTTTTGACACTGTAGAGATTAAATTAAAATCATTGGCATTCCTTTATAGCAGAGGTTCTCAACCAATTGTACGCAAGAGAAAAATAGGTGGTACACAAAGAAGCAAACCATTTTTAACTATTAAATTCCAAAAATTAAAACACCGAATACCCTAATTCAGTTTTTTCTATAACACTCATAAATTTGTGCGATCTGAGCTTTGTTCAAGAGTGGTGGTGGTGGTGGTAGTACTTTGTAGTGGTGGTACTAAAGGTTTTCAGTTTTTGTTTAGATGGGATGCATTAGTCAAAAGGTTGAGAACCATTGTTTTATAGCATTCACAGTGAAGATCCAATGAATTATACTCAGATAAGTCTTGGCTTAACTCTACTTAGTCAAAGGAATATTTAGGTGATGAGCTACACAGGAATAATAGATGGAGATTTCCAAAATCACTCTTCTCACAGGTTTAACATTCTATTCATAATGCATTATTAAAGATATTAAACTAATTATAACAAGATTTTGAAGTAAAATACTTATATTTATTATTCTAAATTTTATTTTAAGCTACGTTCCTGGTTAATTGCATTCAATTTTATAATTTCATAAAATTTTATATCGATTAAAATCCAAGTACAGGAAAAATATCTTTTACTTATCAAAATGCTTTTAAACATGATTTCTAAAACTATATTTGAAAGAGTTCATCTAATTCAGATAAAAACAAGAAGATTTAAAAATATGCCAGGAGACCAGAAGATTTGATGAACAAGGGGAAGTTTAGTTTTTTTAGAAATATTGGCAATGGTAATACATATACAGTCAAAAGTCGTTAATCCGGACTCATTGGGACTTCGGTGATTCCGGATTATCGATTTTTCCGGATTATAGATCATCAGTTTAAATTGCGTAAGATGGCATGCAGAAATTCTAAAATTAAAAATATGAAACCGTAATTTATGAAATAAAGAACAATTATGATCTAAAGGGTATCAAAATTTACAAAAGAAAGCTTAGTATTTATTTGTTTACTTTATTAAACATTTCTTTCAATGTAAATTGTTTAAGTTGCTTCGTTTTATGTGATAATACTTTCTCTTTAATTCTATAAACAGACATAATTTTTTCTTTAGTTACAAAGTTCCGCTGTTCAAGTCCCGTTAATTGCTGTGCCGAGAATACCAACTAACTTGTCAATCGAAATTTTTTCATTTTCACTAACCTCTCTGTCACATTCTTCACGTCTTTATCCATTTTTTGCAGCAATTCCACTTTTTGCTTGATGGACATCGAAACATACTTTCGTTTTGTACGATCCTTTGGGAGCTCCAAGAATCGGAAATTCTATTTGACATAATCGAAAGTTCAAGTTTACTTTTATAGTATTGCTCTTACAGTCTGCAGAAAATAATAAGCCGGATCCAATTCGAAAATTAAGGAACAACGCAATCATCAACATTAACTGAAATAGATAATTAGATAATTTTAGCTTATACCATCCATTATACATAAAACGTGCACACAAAAAACGTATTCTGCGCTTGCGCAAACGCAAAGGCGCAGTTGTAAGAGGTCTTACGTGCGCGCGCGTAAACGCCTATGCGCATGTGTCAACGCGGCGCATGCGCAGAAAGTTTTTAGCTTTGAGGTCCGGATTATAGATCATTCCGGATTATGGGTGTCCGAATTAACGACTTTTGACTGTACTGCACTTGGATGAAAGATATTGAAAATAATGAAATTATATCTAAAAAAAATATTTATTATAGCAAGTTCTGATTTACATCACTATAACGAAAAATTGAAGCAGTTGGCCTTTTCCACCATAGCTGCCTCAGTTAATTTTAGTTCTGTAATTATAGTAAGCAAAAAAATATAAAAACAATAGTAAATCACATTTCACAATGCTTGATACATGTTCGATGTAACTGAATCAAATCCATCATGCAAGTTTTTAGGTGCTGAAAGTCACAGAAACTGATAAGACCCAATTTTTGAGAAAAAGCCACAAGGAAAAAAAATCAACAGAGTTAAATTTAATGACTAGAGAAGACATACTAGGATACATCTCACATCCCTTCTATATTCATTATTTGGAAGCATATAGATCAACCCGGTGAGAAAATATTCTACAGTTATGTAATAAGCATTCTTGAGGTATTTTTAAATTGGGCTCCTTGTATGTATGTATCAGATTAGTTTACAAATTTTCTATCTAATTCATTAAAATGACTTTCTACAATGACAATTGTAGAAAACTTGAATATAGTTTTTTGAAAGTTTGGATGAACACAACTACAATTTTTTTAAGACTTGTGAAATCTGATTTCTTATTACATTTCTGAATAACAAAAGTTTGAATTTGCCATGAATATTTTTCAAAATACAAACATAAAACTGCTTTCTTACCTTTCTATCACTGTAAGCAACTATTAAATTTTCAGATGAAGGGTCAAATTTCAGAACAGTAGGTTGATATTTATACATCGGAAGTTTACAAAAAATCTAACAAAGGGAAAAAAAAAAATTTTATCAACTCCTAAAATATTAATTAAAAAATAAGGTTAACAAGAGTTGACAGGTGATATCATAAAGCAATGCAAGTTCTGGAACTAACAGAAGTAACTCTTTTCCATTTATTTTATTTATTTATATAAATAACTTGCTAAAAATATAATATAGATTTTTTTTAATGCTGCCAAATGGATCAACCTGGTGATTTATTATTATTATTTCAAAGGATAATGACAACATTATTCTTTGAAACAACTGACTGGTTTTCACACCAATACATTCATAATAACATAATTATAATATAATTTACAAAGTTAATTTCAAATTGATTTTTAATGATTGATTAATTTATATATGTACATATTAATGGCTTCCAACATTAAATGGTTTGTTTGGTTATTGAAATTTAGCAAAGCACACAGGGGCTATCTATCCAATGGAAGGAATATCTTTTTGGAGGACTTTAAAATAAAAACTGTCTCATATTCATGTTTCTCATATGGAAAATCATGAAAACCATCAATATAACCAGTCAGTTTGCCTGGATTCAAACATAGGATGGACTAACAACTCAGCCACTGGCGAGGACCCTCATTACATTAAGAGCATTCTGTATCTAGAATTTACTACAGAAACATAAAAGTTTAGCCAAACGAAGTACTTACTTTTTTATTTTTTAAGCAATATATAATTACACAGCCATTGTGACTTCCACAGGCTAAACGAGAACCATTTCCACTTAGTTCCATTAAATGAATCTGACCAGCAGAATCTGAAATATTTCAATAAATAAATATAACAAAACTAAGAATTATAAGAGGTCTCTAGATTGAAATTACTTAAAACTGAGTACAATAATTTAAGATGCAAGCAAATGACAAAAAATAATCTTCATGCTATATCATATACTGTATTTAATATAAGTTACATAAATGAATTACAAAGGCATATGATTTAGATTGTGTATCTTCTACAGTCAGATAGCTCTTTCGTTTTGCCACTAAAAAATAGAACATTAAAAAAAAACTTTCGCTAAGCCATGGTTCACTAAAATGGGTCTCAATGCCGGAAAAATCTAAGAGTAATAAAAAAAGTCTCTAATGATAGAACATCTTACTCCACTATATAGGGATAAAAAAATAAAATAAAATAAAAAGTATTCCAGAGCATCGAGGAACATGTTCATCTGTTTATATGAAATGACCCAGTAAGAGCCATCACACGTTGAACGAAGTAGCATTTGTGTATATTCTTCTACCTTCAAATACCGATATTGCAAAAATAAAAAGTACCTCAAAGCATCGAGAACACATGCATTTGTTTATATCAAATGACACAGTTAAAGAGACATTACATTGCTCAACACCCACCCACAAATCTCCCTCTCATTCCAAAACAAAATACCAAAAATAAAAAACATTGCATAGGAATGAAGGTACACATACTGAACTTTCGATATATTTCCCCATAACAGACATACAGCTACATCTAGCGGCAACAAAAAATACTAATTAAATGTTCTATCAAAAAGTCAAATGTGGTATGCCCAGCCATAGAGTGAATTAAATGGCGATTCAAATATGACACACTCGGCCGTGACGTAATGTTCGCTGCTAATGCATATGTGACACGCCCGTACTGAATGGGTTAAAAAGGAAACTATTGTTTGTTACAAGCCACATTTGCAGTGTGGAAGTTCAGAAAGCAGCTCAGGAGCTGCAGTTTAGCTGTGGCCAGCATAAACCATGAATGACTTTCTTGTTTGATTAATGGTAATGAAAAGAGAAATGTTCAATTTTAACAGACATTAATAAATTATTGAAGTATACCCATGCTTTGTGATACAGTAGATGTGTAGGATATAATCCAATTATGTTTATGACCACTTTTATGCAATATGTATTGCTTTATTTTGAATAAATCTCAGAATAGGATTAGTGCAAGTACATGTTTTAACCTTCTACAAAGAAAGAAATCCTACAACATTAAGTCTATTAAAAGAAGCAGCCTGGCAAGACATATTTAGTTATTAGCAGTTGCATGATTAATCCGTGTATCATATATTGAATAGCTGCTCTGCTGGCATGATGGTAAGGAGTCAGCTGTCATAGACTAGGGCCCAGGTTTGATTTTTGAAGGCATGGATGTTTTTCAGTGTTATAGTAGTTTTGTGGTATAACATTTAAAATACATAAAATACAGTAATGTCAAAAGGCTTCATAAAAGTTTCTTAGAAGAAGAAAAGGCGATAGATCCTTGGACTTGTCCACCAGGGGATCCTTCTTCAAAAATGGGGCACAGCTGGTCAAATTTGTACATCACCTATAAGGTGCCCAAGGCCTATGCCAACATGAATTCTTAGCCATGATGAATTCATGGCCTTGATCTGATGTTACTGTCAGGTAAGCGAGATGAGTCACATCAACAATACATTTATTCAGTAACTGATCATACACACTGACCTTTGAATCTGCGGTGGAGCCTATTTATCTATCCTAAGATTTAATATGATTAAAAAAGTATATCATCACAGCTAGTGGAGCTGACAACAGTACAGCAAGTGTGGACTGAACTGCATAATAGGATAGATACTTGCTGTATTTTTGAAGAGTTTACAAGAACAAAGGTATGCAAAAGGGCTCTGACTATTTCTCTTTTTTTTATTATTAGTTAAGTTATACCTTTTGTACAGAAAAATCTTAGACACCGCTATGATATTTTGCATAACCTAATCATATATTTATAAAACTATGCTTTTAAAAAAGTGTAATAATACAAAATAAAATCAGTTTTGATAACAGATGAAAATTCCTGACTTTATGAAATATTAATTTTCATAATTAAACTGCATGAAAATCCTGTAAGGTAATTTTGCTATGACCTTCAGCTGTTCAAATTTTAAGTAAATCTTCCTGAAAATAAACAAATATGAAACAAAAAGTCTGACTATCATACATACCAACATCTTCCTCAACAGTAGCTTCTAATACAGCATTAATATCATCACACCTTAGAATATATATTTTATTTCCAGCATAAAACAATAATTTAGAGTGTTCTGATGAAAATAACATAAGTGTTGCAACAGATGGAATTTCTTCAGGCAACATAACTTTAGAAACTGATGGTGCAGTAGATGTATCGGGCCCCTAAGAATTAAGGGGGAAAAATTAACAAAACTTAAAAATGACAATTAGAGTAAAGTTCTACATTATACTGGGCATATAATACCGTTTTTTTCTTAAAACCATTTGCATTATTTTGTGCTCTCCAAAAAAAAAATATACATACATATCTATACAAACTACATAATGTATAGATATGCATATGTATGTCTTTTTTTGGGGGGGGGAAGGTGAACAAAAAATACTGGAAATGATTAAAAAAGGTATTATTATACATATAAATATATATATTGCAATTGTTTAACTGTTTGCACTGCTTACTTTAGCCAGTAAGGGTTAGACTGATAAAGACATAGACTACTTTCCTGAAATTATTTTTAGTTTTAAACTTTAATTTGTGTCTTACAATATGGTTTCAGAAAAGGTCATAGCATCACTGATCAATTGGTTTATCTCAGCCAGAAGATTAGAGATGCCCAAAACAAACGGCCTACCAATCATACTGTGGCTGCTTTCCTAGACTTGTCAAAGGCGTTTGACCGTGTCTGGAAACATAAACTAATAGGTAAAACTCTACGAAGATTTTGGCATCAGGGGTAAAGCCTTGATCTGGATCGCAGATTTCTTCAGAAATAGATTGATAAAAGTAAAGCTTAATTCCACTATGTCAAACACTTTTAAATTGAGCCAAGGCGTCCCCCAGGGTTCTTTGTTGAGCCCAATTCTTTTTTGCCTGTATTTGGCTGGAATTGAGAAGATTATATCAAGAAGATGTGAGGTTGCGGATGATACTACAATTTGCGGCACGATATTGCCCTTTGGAGCTCTGGCCCAGATGTGAGTTTAATTGAGACCAATATTAATTTTATCCTTGAAGAAGTGTGGAAATTCTCGAAAGACCACAAATTGAGTTTTAACCCAACTAAATCTATTGTTAGTTTTTTTACCAACAATAAGAAGATTTATAATTATCATTCAAAGCTTTTTATGAATAATTTGCCTCTTACATATGACAAACATCCAAAATATTTGGGCTTCGTTCTTGATCCAGAGATCACTAGTAACAAACATGTGGATGCACTGGTTTCTAAAGGCAGAAAACGCCTAAACATTCTGAAGTATATCTCGGGACTTGATTGGGGAGCCAATGCTTGCACTTTGAGAACTACTTACTTAGCTATCATACGACCTATTTTGGAATACGGTTTCCCCGTTTACTGTTGTGCCTCTTCCACCAACCTCCAGAAATTGGAAAGAGTCCAACTCAGTGCTTCTCGCATTATAACTGGCTTGCGCAACAGTTGCCCGAATAAAATTGCATTGTATGAAACAGACCTTCAACCCCTCAGTCTAAGAAGAAATGCAGGCCTCATAAAATATTATAATAAACTTCTCAGTTACGGCTCCCAGAATAGAACTCAGAATTTCTGCAGCACTGGAGTAATAACCAAAGACTTAAGAAAAATAGTCCACTTTCTCAAGTTGAGTATGCTAGTATAATTGACCATAATGTCGAGCAGCATTCCTTGAAACAATGTTTAGATCCATCTGAGGGACTCCCTGGAGTCGGGTTCCATGTAGAACTTTCGTCTTTGAGTTTCCAAGAAAAATGATATTCCGGCCCTGTTACGACAATCTGCCTTGGAAACTATACATGCAATTTTCGCTGAAGCTACCCTCATCTATACTGATGGGAGTAAATTGAGGACTCTCGCTCCGGTAGTGGTGTTGTCATTAAATGCACAAATGGAAATATTGTTAAAATAAAGAAAAGAAATTCTGACTTCAGTTCGGTTTTTAAGAGTGAGCTTATAGCCATCGAAGAGGGACTAAATGCTGTTTTGTACCTTACAGATCTTAAGGCAGTATGGATTTTGTCTGACAGTCGTAGCGCTATCAAATATCTTTCAAACTGGCAAAGAGTTGGTGATAGGGCCGGAACCACAATTCTTAGCAAACTTAGGCAGGTCTCGTCACTCTGTGAAGTGCATCTTCAGTGGATTCCTTCCCATGTTGATATATGGGGGAATGAAATGGCAGACATTCTGGCGGGGAGGCTTCTGAAGAACCTTTGCCAATTATCAATTCACTGACATATCTTGAACTGCATTTCATTAGAAGACTTGCTGACAGGCAGATATGGCTCGTTCCCCCGAGTCATCCCTGGTATCAAGCTGATTGTCCTGGAAGATCCCTTGCTATGGATTGCGAAAGATGTGTTCAGACAACACTTTACCGATTCTTCAGTGGGCACTTGAGGGGACTTACTTTTGAGAGTGGTGTCAAGATGCACCCAATTGGTTTTAAGTGTCACAATGCACCCGCATCACCGGCACATATCCTTGAGTGCCTGGATTTGTCTCTTGTGGACCTTTACGTGTCTCCCAAGCTTGTTTTCGATTTTCTAAAGGTGAATGGACTTGTGGACCTTGTCTAGTATATTCCTAGGCATGGAGATTAGTAACAACAACAACAATTTGTGTGTCTTAAATTGGTTCAGAAAAAGGCCCTTCTTTTAGACTAGAAGAGAAACACGCTAATGTGACAATCAAAATCGTAAAAAACAACCTTATATTTAGCGTAGGTATAATGAAACACTCAATTGATTTCGAGGGCAGCTAAAGGTCCCTCCTCATCAGGAGAAAGAAATACATAGAAAGAAGAAAATAGGAATCACAGAAACACGTGGTGCTTATCAGCACTGCACGTGGTTATAACTAGATTTTTAATCAGAGTTGCACTGGCCGCCTACTTTTACTGAGCCAGGCTGTCTGATCAAGCATAAAGAAATATTAGCGAAGTTAAAATAGGGAGCGAGGGGCAAATGCACATTACGCTCAAAATCTGAACTTCAAATAATGGAAAGCAACCACTGAACGGATTTTTATACCCTCTGGTAGTACCAAGTGCGAGGAGGTAACGCCATCTATCGGCAAAAATAATTGAATTAAGACAGTAGAATTTTAAAGGCATTAGGAAGGACTGGATTGGACTTCAAATCATTAACTAAACTTTCTAAATCTTTGTGAATGTGAAAAGCCTCAAGAAAATCCAATTCGCCTATGGAAGAAGCCTTTTGGATGATTTTTGCAGACCCAAAATCAAAATTATGGTTAAAAGTCCAGCTATGATACGCTATTGAAGACTTGTTAATTTCCCCTTTTTTGACATAAGATTCATGTTCCTTGATACGAAACTTCAACGCTCTTTTTGTTTGGCCAATATATCTTAAACCACACTGACATGATATACTATAAATTCCCCAAGAATTCAAGACAGAAACGCAATCTTTTAGAATCGAAGGGTGAATTTTATTAATAGGGGGAAGAAACCGACTTGAAAATTGAATTTCTGGAGAATCCGTGCAATTTTATAGCTAACAGAAGGATAAAATGGAAGCACGACAAGGTCATTGATATTATTTCTAACAGTGGAATGTCTTCTTTGATGGGAATCTGAAAATTTTTGACGGCTTTATCAATAATCACGGGTCAATCGCAACGCAAGAAATCGCAATAAATAATCCACGGTCAATCGCAACTGCTCTCAAATAATTAAGTTCATTGGTAAGCAAAGATTCAGAGGAACAAACTTTTAGCGCGCGGAAAACATAATAGTAAAAAGAAGCCATTTTTTGCTTAACAGGGTGGCATGACTTGGCATGGGGTGGTAAACAAACTGCAAAGGGTTTACGGTACACAGTGGTGCTAAAATCGGTTTCATTGCGGATTATAAGAATATCGAGGAAGGGGAGGGAATTGTTGGATTCAATTTCAAGAGTGAATTGGATGGCTGGATCAATTGAATTCATAATAGATAGAATCTCGGATAAATCCTCTTTATAACCGTCAAAAAGTGCGAAAGTGTCGTCAACATACCGAATCCAAAGACGAAAAGATAATTTATCAAATAATTTCATCTCAAAATAGTGCATATAAATGTCAGCAAGTACCGGACTGAGAGGATTACCCATAGCCAATCCTTCAACTTGACGAAAATATGCATTTTGGAAAACAAAGTGGGTTTGACTTAGAGAAACTTTAGTAAGCGAAACCAACTCATTAATTTCAGTATGTGTGAAGTGAAATTCCCGAAGCCTAGTTTCAAGACAATTTAGTGCTCCTTCGACCGGAACATTAGTAAACAATGATTTGACATCAAATGAAACCATAATGGAACGAAGTGGGGAAATATTTTTAAGTTTATCAATGACTTCAACAGAATTTTTTACAGTGTGAATATTGTTATCAAGTAGAGGAGAAAATCTGGAAACTAAATATTTGGCCAAAGGATATGAAGCAGTACCTATGTTGGAAACAATTGGTCGAAAAGGAATACCGGTTTTGTGGACTTTTGGAAGAGCATAAAGTCTAGCGCAATTAGTAATAGGCGGAATAAGTGATTTCTTCAACTGAGTTGGCAGAATGTGGGAAGATTTAATAGCACTTTTTACTTTCATGAGGTCCGAAGTTGAAGGATCTTTAGGGATCGAGCAGTATGGGCCTTCATTTATCAATTTAGAGACTCCAGTAATATATGTGTGTTTGTCCATAACAACGATCTGTCCGCCCTTATCAGCTTTAGAGATAATGATATTAGTATCAGAATTGAATTTCACGTAAGATCTCATTTTCCTTTTTGCTAAGATTAGAACCCAAAGATTTATTGTTAAAATTAACGTTATGAGTAATTAGGTGGCGGATTGTATCCTTCTGCGTTTCCGAAATTTTGGAGAATTTAAAGGCTTTCTCTATAGGGGCGATGATTTGAGGAATTGAAGGTTTAGATGTCTTTGAAAAGTTGAAATTATATTTTAATACTTTTAACTGATCCTCCGAAAGATTCCTATTGGAGATATTAACGATGGAGTTAACGTTTACAGTGGGAAGATCAGCTAGATAATTGGGACTATCCGACTGGTGTGTGAGTTTTTGGAATTTAGAAATGAGCACATTTTTATGCCGTTGACAAACGGTATCGGTTCTAGACCAGGATGTATGTTCAAATGAGGAAAAATTTTCAGTGGAATTAGCAATTTTTAAATGGAGGTAATATAATTCAAATTCAATTTTAGATAAACGTTTGCGTGTGTCCCTTATAATGTGACGAAGAAGTGCCAATTTGAATTTATGCAAAATTTTTGAAACGTGAACGGAAGCTTTAAGGCTACATTTCACATGTATAAATTTGGGAATGAAATTTTGATGTTTGCATTTAAGTAGAAACTGTAGAGATGATTCAAGAATTTCGTACGCTTAAGGCGTAACTTACAAAATCGGTTCCTGTCAGTGGACATATTGTGAAAAGGGCACAAGCAAGAAACAAGTGAACAAAAGAAATGTAATTCCGAAAGTCCAAACAAGTAATTACTTATAACATGAAAAAAAACACCAATAAATAATGAAGACAATTTTCATCAACAAATGACAAAAACATTCCAAAAGGAGAGAAACATCCAATACTGAAAAACCAATAGCCACGTGGAAAGAAGCAACGAAAGTCAAAATCGTGCACGTGGTAAACCGAAAAAATATAGAATTACCTCGAAAATGCCGGTTGATAGCATAAACCAAATCCGAAAAAATGATGGCCACGTGGAAAGAAGTAAATAAAATGGTGCACGTGGTAAAACAATAAACAGTAAAATATTCTCGAAAATGCCGGTTGATAGCACAAACTAGACTAGAAGAGAAACAAGAGTGCTATAACCATGTGCAGTGCTGATAAGCACCACGTGTTTCTGTGATTCCTTTTCTTTCTATGTATTTTCTCCTGATGAGGAGGGACCTTTAGCTGCCTCGAAATCGATTGAGTGTTTCATTATACCTACGCTAAATATAAGGTTGTTTTTTACGATTTTGAAGGCCCTTCTTTTGTTGCACCAGTGCCCTGATGATGATGCAGCGAAAGATAATATATATAAATATATGTATTTAATTTTATAATTTAGTTATTATGTTTTAGAAACAGTACTTCCTTATATTGTAACTTAAATAAATTACATTAATATGCAACTAAACTAATTTAATGTGTGATTTAGATATGTATATATATAAATAAATATACACATACATAAAAAGTTGGATATATGTATACATATATTTAGATGTGTATAGATAAATATACATGTTTACATACATTTAGATATGTAAATATGATATGTATTTAGATATATATACATAAGAAAGAAAGATTTTAAAATTTTCATGAACTAAGTAAAGAGCAAAACCACAATAAGATAATTAGCAGAAAGAATAGAATATAATCTGAAACAAAAATGATAAATGAAAGCAATGCAGTGAATTGAAAGAAAATTATCATTACAATTTTTCTTAAATCATGTTTAAAATTTAATATGAATGTTAATATTAAAAAAAGGAAGAAAACACTTTTTTTAATGCTAAGAATGGTTTTTGAATTTATATGCATCACAGAATATTTTTTCAGGGAAAGGATGGTTAAACTGAATAATGCCCGATTTGATATAAGAGCATTCTTACATCCACACAAGAATTAAAAAATTTTCTAATTAAAATTCTGGACATAACTACATAAATAAAAACAATTATGAAATCAAATTTTTTTTTTAAAGAAAGAGTATACAGTACAACAAATATAAAGTAATAATTAAGAATGTAACAAATACGTATTTACCAACTGTAGCCTGAACAGCCTCATCTGAAACTGACTAGAATATGCTATCCATTTACCATCAGCAGAAATTGAGCTGCAGATAATAGTTTCATTTACTTTTGCCTTTACTTGCAGTAAATTTGTTGGACCTAATAAGAAGTACACACATAAATCTTTTCAAAATATAACAGTAAATCAATTATCAATAAAATCATAAATTTCCCAATACATAAAAATAACAAGGAGTAATATTAAGTTCATTATAATAAAAATTATATAAAATGTTTTTATTTAGATGACTCAAGACCTAGTTGATCATATCATATTAAGCATGACACATCCTGCATCACAATAAAGAGTGATCATATCACCCTATTCAAGAACTACATTTTTCTTGCCTGTTATCTCCCACATGGATATTTCTAGTTTCTGTGCTATGCCTGAAACCTACTTTTGAATAACGGTCTTTTGCATACTTTGAATTCCTTTCTTCATCAGTATAGCTCTCATCTCCTTTAATCTTACATCTTGGTTATGTGTATCAATTTGAAACACTGCTGTATCACATTACACATGAGAAACCTGTCTTGTCTTTAATTTTTACACACTAATATATGTTTGCAGGAACTGCAAATTAATAACATAAGAGTAAAGAAAGACTTTCCTTTGCCTGAGTAAATGAAACATTTAAACATTGATAAATTAAAAAATGAAACATCTGATGTTGGCTATAATGGATGACTTCATTATTTCTATGCTAATTTATGAATTTTTTCATAGCTATTAGGTTTTGCCAAGAAAGTTCCAAAAATGACTAAGTGTGTTTGCCAATAAAAACTAATGTCAATATTTTTTGTTGTTGCTGTTATACAGTAAAGACTTCATAAGACTTCATAGACAGTATAAAAAGACATGAAAATGCAATGTTCAAAATTGCATTTATTTCATAAACTGAATAACTTTATTATGAAATAAAATGATGAAACAAAGAGATGGCAATGTGAGAGATTATTTTATATAACAACAAATAAATGTCCAAAATAATTTTACAGCATTAGCTTTTATTAGCTGAATAAGTCCATAATTCAGTCAATTTCATTTTTAATCTTATTTCTTTTATATTATTATTATTAATTTATTCTACATATATATAATGCTTGAGATAGATAATGATACCATATATTAAATTTGCAAGAAAGACCTCTTTTCCCCTTCAGATGCTTCTCTACGTAATTCACATTTCAATTATTTCTGTATCTTTAATTTCATGGATGTTGATGTTGAAGATATTCAGTTAAGGCAAAGCACTAGACAGTTATCTGCCTAAGGGGAGGAATGCTTTAGTGAAGGATTTTATAAGGGAAACTAGCTTGTATACATATCACACATGGGAAAAAGCATGAAAATGCCCATGCAGCCAGCCCATTTGCCAGAATTTGAACCTCAAACCGAATTACCAGTGTTCAGTGACTTTACTGTAGGTAGCCCTTAATTTTAGGGAACTTGAAAACACACATATATATGCATGCATATAAATACATACCCAAGAAGAAAAACAAAAACACTTTAATATTCAAATACATCAAATCAAAAAGATATAATAACTATAAACTTGCATACCAGAAGTTGAAGATCCAATTTGCCACAATTCGAGAAAACTTGGATATCTTAACAAAACACATGATGAATGTGGAGACACAACAGCATACGGCATCTGCAAAAAAGGAGGGCAAAAGATAACGGTAATACTGTGTACATTACAGAGATTACTCTAATGAATGTTAAGTTATTATTATTACTAAGGAACTGATCTTACAAAAATTAACATGTACAGCACACAGATTTATGAAATTTGGATTGCTAGATATTGGATTAGATATTGAAGCCTTTATTTAATATTTGTTAATTTTCTTGCTTAAAGTGAATTTTACTATTTCGCATATTGCTAAAAAAAATCAATCCAAATATAAAACTTACTGCTGCATGACCAAACTTAATGGAGAAAATACGGGCCGATTACAATAAATTTGAGTAAAAAAAATTATGAATAAGAAACATTTTATTATTTATATGACACAATATTACTTTTAAAAGCTTTCTTTAATACCTTTAGAAAAATTTAATATTATATGTAAAACAAATATATATTTATACTTATTTTTTGGATACATAATTTATTATATAATTATATTATACAAAAACTTTATAAATAAAAATATATAGACTTTAATATGATGAGTTTATCTCACACTTAAGCTAAAGTGATAAAGGTATAAAGATATATAATTTTGCAATAGCAGTTACTATTTTAAGCTTTCTTATAAATACTCTTTAGTATTTAGCTTCTCTTTTTATTGTTACAATATTTAATGAATGCATAAGCATTACAATGTTTATAATTAAAATATCATAATGCTATTTAGTGGCAATTATAACAAGTTTGCGTGAAATCATGCAGATTTTTTATGCTTGAGATACAATAATTACAGTAAAATAAATACTGTATATAACTAAACCTATCCATTAAATCGAAATATTCACACTAGTTAATTAAAACTCTACTTTTCTTTTCTTTTTAAAAAATTTTATATTCAAATTTAGAATACTGCAGCTAAAATTCAATACAGTTGTCTGGTTGTTCCTCTCCCCAAAAAAACTTGCATATGATGAAAAATTCTTAAATACAAATACTACACTCTTTTAGTAGAATTTACATTATCTAGCATCTACATAACAACATTTTAAATACTTCCATTATAATCAGAGAAATATTCTAAGCTACTCTTAAAGTATACACTGACTACCAATAAGTATTTGGACACCTATGCAAATGACGATATCTGCGGTTCTAAGGTACATCACGGACTCCGCTGGTATATATCGTGTAGGAAACAGCATCGGCTTTAGTCGCATGCAAGATGCCTCGCAGTTCAGAGTTCTCTGATTTTGAGAAAGGTATAATTATCACGTATCACAAATGTGGCCGATCCTTGAGGGACATATCTAGCGATCTGAAGTACCCAAAATCGACAGTGGCCTATGTGATTAAGAAGTGGAAGGTGAGCGGTGATTGTCGGAATGTGCCCCGAGTCGGCAGACCAACGAAACTGGGAGATAGAGACTGAGGAGTGCTGTCCATAGAAATTCGGAAGAACTGCACCCAACCGATGGCCCTCATCCGCAAGGAGTTTCAACAATCATCCGGGAGTATTGTTTCAATGAATACCAACCGTAAGGAAGCACATCTGCTTGGTTTTCATGGTCGTGCTGCTGCCCATAAGCCTTTGATTACAGTCCAACCGCGCTGCTCGGTTAATTTGGTGCAAAGCACATCGAAATTGGACCGTAGATCAGTAGAAACGGGTTCTTTGGAGTGACGAATCAAGGTTCACCCTTTACCGTACGGATGGCAGGGTCTGGGACTGGCATCTACCTGGAGAACGTCTCCTGGCAGAATGCATTGTGCCAACAGTCAAGTTCGGTGGAGGTGGAATTATGGTCTGGGGGTGTTTCTCCTGGTATGGGTTGGAACCCTTGGTCCCCATTCATAGTAAGCTCAACTCCGATGCTTACTGCATTATTTTGGATGACAATGTGCTTCCTACGTTGTGGCAGTTTTACGGGTTAGACCCGTTACTTTCAGGACGACAATGCCAGTTGTCATGTTTCGACGTTAACCAAGGCTTGGTATGGTGCCAATGGAGTTCATCGAATGGACTGGCCTGCCCAGAGTCTGGACCTGAACCCTATCGAGAACTTCTGGAACAAGTTGTATCCCCGAATTCAGGGGTGCACTAACAGTGCAAAATTGGTGAAGGAACTTCTATGTCTTCTCCAAGCCGAGTGGAAGAAAATACCACTAGCTGTCATACAAAAACTTGTGGAAAGTATGCCCCGGAGAGTCAACGCTGTAATTACCTCTCGTGGAGGCTCTACCAACTATTTATTTTGAATAAAGTTAGTTTTTCTTTTCTATCACGGATGTCCAAATACTTATTGGTAGTCAGTGTATAATCAAATGAAATAAGTTGTAATGGCACATATTTAGAATATTTATTTTCAGTTACAAAAGACAATTTTGTTGAATTAAGATTAGGTTAAAAATTTTGTTTAGTGATTAATATTTTTATATAAAAAGATCACCATCAATTTCAAAACAGCTCATAAAGGACCAAAGTCTTCTTCAGAGTGCCGTTTTTAAATATAGTCTCTTTTTGATTAAGGTTTTCCAATTTTAAATACTATGAGCTTGAAATAATTTTTAATGTCCTCTAGTCATTTTAACCTGGGCCCTCCATATAGTCTGCTTATTTCTGGCTTAAAGGTAATTTTAGCAGCTTTGGATTTTTCTTTTTTATATTCTGACAAATTTTTATTCTGTTGATTTTAATTTATTAACAGATACCACTATAAATCATCTCATTGATACAAATACCATAATTAATGAAGTCTAATAAAATCAGAAAGCAATATTAGATAATAGCAGACTATTAATGAAAACATTAATGAGATAATAATCAGATACCAACATAATAATTCTACTTAAAAAGTTAATTTCTACTGTAGCTTCACAATTATAAAATAATTTTGAAATTATAGTATTAGAATTAATAAATACCATAATGAGCTTATTATTAAGATGAATAAAAATACACAACAAATTTTTATCAATCTACCTGACAGAAAGGGAAAAACTTAATTGTAGTTTTTGGAGGGTACTTTGTGAATACAAGATTGCAGTCATCACCTTTAAAAAAAAAAAAAAAAAAAAAAAAAGTTAATAAGTTTTCTAATTTAACTGAATAGCCATTAAAAATTAATATTATATATAAAATGGAAGAGTCCACTTACCTCCTGATACTAAAAATTCCCCAATAAGACAAAGAGCTCGAATATCATGGGTATGGACAATTCGCTGAATTGATTTTAACCACTTCCCATTTGAAGGATATTTCATAAACATAGTGATTGTAGGATCTACACCACTCACATATACAGTATCCTCCTCCTTAAATTGATAAAAAACAAATTATGCAATGCTAAGGAGCAATATTTATATAACAAATACTTATGGGAAAAGGAAAACTCTGAGTTCTGGTTAATTGATTTTAAAAAGTTCATCTTCATACTATTAAATGTGCATTTCACATAGTATACAATGCCAGAAATACAATTAACATAAAAGACTATACTATAAGTTATAAAGTATAAAAACTCTCCTCCAACAATATTTATTAAACTATTATGAAAGGTGTTATAAGTCTATCATATTATTATTCATATGAAAAAGATGATTAAATTATGAGAAGTTTATTATAAATAAATTCAAAACCAAGTCAAGTTTTTATTCCAATTTACATAATCTTTAAAAATTATTCTACAAAAATATTTACTGCAACAAAATTTCACAGAATTACTTTAAAATTATCAAGATTAAGTATATTATACAATATCAATGATTTGGAGGGAGGGAGAGAAAGAAAGAAAATAAAAGTATTTTAAATATTTTCAGGTAAATACAATCAAAGGTTTTATTTTTGTTGCTTAAAAAGTAAATTACAGGTTCAAAAATCTGAGCCGACACTTTTTAAAAACCAACATTTATTTTCATGCCGTTTCTTATTCTACAAAATTCTAAATGCAACTAACTATCACACAGAAAAGCAGATGTAGACGTAATGTATCTGGGCCCGTGATCCTCATGACAGACGAATTCTTTAGGGTTGCCACAGAAAGCAGTGTCGCCACATTTTAAAATTTGCACAGTTAAATAAAAGATACACACAGAACATTACTATTACATGCATGATTTAAAAAGTACATGTGAATTGTATTTAATTATGTGAATTAAACACAAGCTTTTTTTAAAATCTGAAATATAATGCTGTCAAATTTATTAAACCAACATATATTTTTTAATCTGTTGATATGTCAAACGAGGCTCAATATCAGTTTCTTCACAAATGCACCACTATCTTGTGTTACTTGACAAATTTTGGACTAATATTTTTTTAACAATTCGCTGTCTCTGAGTATTTTATATGTGTGGAGGTTGTAAAGCACTATATGCAACAAGTGTAATTCTTTGCTGTAACGAATAAATAACTTGAAAAATTTTATATAAGGAATGATATGTATTGTAAAATTAATAACTATAAGAATAAATTATACAGTGAGTAAATAAAATAAACTGATAATGTTATTGACACTTATTTATACACATTGGCAGTCTGAGATTTCACAGACAGCTTATCTGCTTTTCATCTGGAGTCCTGCTGAAAGTAGATCTCGTTTTCACCTCATTTTAGATTGCTGCAATTCTTTTTTTTTTTTTTTTTTTTTTAATTTTTTTCAATGATTTATAAAGTCTCAACCTAGAATTTACAGCTATGTATGCGGAACCTTGAGAACTAGTAAGCCAATAATTGCTTTAGTTCAGAAGATAGACATAAATGTGAGAAGGGTTAATTACCCTTTATTGTTCAAAATAAAGTTTTGCAGATGGCCCTTCTCAGGATGTACAGAACAGCCTCCACTTCGGCTTAAACTCAAGAGTACTAAGAAAATCAAACTTAACTAATGCTTGACTAAAACGATATAGCTGAAGTTATCAAAATTCTACAGGAGTCGGCCCCTTAAATGCTAACTAAACGGCGAAGCTATCAAGGGCCTGAAATACAGCCAAGCGTAGTAATAGCTTACAGAGAGAGTAGCCAAAAGGGGAATGTGCGTTAGTCAGAATCTCTAGCTGTCTAACGAAGTCAGTGGAACTTCGACGTAAGTACTGTTCTTCCTTCATTTTCATTTAACTGCAATTCTAAAAACACACTCTGGCAGGAAATTTAAGCTGAAATTAGAAGCGACAGGAAAGTAGTTTTAACTAAAAAGATAACTGTTAAGAACTTAGGATATAGCTTACAGATTTAACACAGAGTTGCCATACTTTTTAGGATTTACATCCAGATATATGGGACACTGAAGGGTTATTCTCCATTGCAATATGATCTTGGGGATATTTTGATAGCCTTTTTATTTTAAGGTATTTTTATATAAGAGTTTTTTTGGCTAATTTCAGCTTGGTCCTTACAACAATTTCAGGATATTCCTGCATCCTGGAAGTTAAAAATACAATAAATGCCAAATACATGAAGGATTTATATAAAACTCCCTAATGACATATACAAACTCTCTAATAATACAATAGAACTTAAAATTTGCAAGTTGAGAATTTAATAGAACATTCACTTTCTGCAATTGCATGGGATCAAGCTGAAATTATAAAAAAAAAAAAAAAAAAAATAATTTCATTAAAACACCTTTAAAATAGATGAAGATATTCAGATTTCCACAAGATGAAGTTTATCAAACTGGGTAGAGATGGTTACACTAATACATAAGTACTTGTTAGTATTCTGGATGGGAAGACTAACTACTTATTTCATGAAATTCTAAAAATATTTATCATGAATAAAAGAAGAGAATTAAATTTTAAATTTGATAACAGTGATGACAATGACAAAACTACTGTCTTAAATTTGAAAGAGAATAGTGCGAGTGCTGAGAAGAATGACAAACTTGATGAAAAGACTGGATGCAGTGGAAGTCTTTAAGGCAAAATGAAACAGTAATAGTAATAAAATAAAATGCTGGAACGGGAATAGAAAGCACATTTATAGAAACAATGTCATGCACCTCCAGGTCAAAGACCTAAAATATATTGAAGAAGCAGCAGAAAAATTAAACGTTTGTCATTTCAAGGGGGAAATGTTACTGTACGTAAGATGTGTGCCATTCTGCATTTAAAAAATATCTTCACTTCATAGCCAGAGATCAAGAGCTTTGAGGAGGAATTAACAGTTTCTGATTCCCCATTATAGTTGATACTGGAACAAGTATTTTGTGAGCTGATGTACCTCAGTGTTTGAAAGGGCACCTTCTGTGTATTTATCATGCCTTTTCTACAAACTGTGACTGGAGAGAAAATATTAGTGTACTTAAAAAAAAAAAAAAAAGGAAGATACATACATCAGAATTGTAACCTGTGTTTATGAGCACAAAGTGTATGTGGACAACACAGTAGATGCATGCAATGCTACAACTAGCCTTTCGAAAAAAATACAAATTTTGTTTAGACATAAAAAATAAGAAATTATGTACCTTCAATGTTTTTTTATTTAATAAAATATATTTTCCTTTCAAACTCAGAAAATATTTAACGAACTACAAAGAGAAAGATAATTAATTCATCATACAGTTTAAAGGGAACAATATACTATATAATTCTCCTTACAAAATTTATCAGCAATTTTATATTGCAAATAATAAAAGTGTGGGGTGATTTTAATAAATTTAGAAAGATAGTAGCTTATACTTTTGGCAACAAAATTCGATGATTAGTTAAGCACCAGTGCTTTTTTATTGGTGATATAAAATTACTGATGAATTTTGACAGAATTATTTAATATTTTGTACCCATTAAACTATATGATAAATTATTTTTCTCTTTTTAGGTCATTTAATATTTTATGAATTGCCGAAATCTTGCATTCTCAGTCCTTCTCTGCTAAGAAAAATGTTTGTTTGACCTTTTGCAAATAATGGTTTTTTACAATCTGGCATTTCTTTATTAGACAAATTACAACATGTGGCATGCATTGGGTCCGGCAAATTGCATGACTAGTGTTAAACAAATTGTACAAAATCACCTAATGAATTTTTTTTTTTTTTTTTTTTTTTTTTTATCATTCTTGCTTTAAAAGAGGAAAGAAATGTATACAGAAGCCTGAAAAATAGCACAAACTAATACTAATACTAATGATAACTTCAAATTGCAAGTGAATCTTGTGACACATTTAATTTGACTTCTGATTAATTTCTGATATTTAATTTCTGCTTGGTCATAGTATAGCATATATATATACTATAAAGAAATATATAAATAGGCTAAAAATTTGAATAAAAATTTTTTAAACCTTTTTCAGCTTTTAGTTGTTTAAAGCACAGATTTAACCATTTTATTTATAGAAATCTTTAAGTACAGTTTTTCGTTTTTTTAATATTAAAAGCTTAGTTTAGCATAATCAGAGACCTCCCAATTTTTTAGTTTGTTTAAATGACTATTAGTTTTGCTCTTTATTTATACTTGATTTTGAATTTCGGATTAGCACATATTGGTTTTAGACCATTTTCTTTTTTAAAATGCCTATGTACATAATGTAGAGTTCTATGGTTTTTTAATTGTCATTTTGGCACTATAATGCTTTATTCTTTTTTCCAAGTGTTTCAAAAATCTGTAGGGAAAATTCTAGTACATTTGAGATTTGAGTTTTTGGCTTTATATGAATTTTAAAGTCTTAAATAAATGGAGTTTTAAAAAAAGGAGATTAATTTTTATTTGTATAATTTTGTATATTTTCCCTTTCACAATTTTATTTTTCGAGATTGTTCTACCATGAATTCTCTCTTTAACTAGATTAGTTTTGACATTATGTTAAACCTCTTATACAGAGTTGCAATTATTATATTTACAAAAATTGCCTTGCTTTTATTCCAACTTACTAATTTATTTAGATGCTTTATATATATACATATATAAGTATTACATATTACATATATAAGAAAATCACATGATTAATATCTTGTTTAAAAGAGGACAAAAGTGAATTATGGAAAATGAAAACAAAAATTATAAAATATATTTTTAGATGTTGAAATTTAAAAATAATGGACATCAAATATCATTGCAAATTTGAAAAAAAAAAAAAAAAAAAAAAAGAAATTATGTTAAAAATTTCACACACACAGCATTTAAAAGAATTTTTTTTCCTATGCTTCTGATGGTGCAAGAAGTAAAATTCAGAGCTTTTAATTTGTTCGTTAAATGAAGATAATGCAAAAAATCATTTCAACATTAATTTTTAAAAAATTTGAATCAAACTTTTGAAAAATTGCTTCAACACGTCTTGCCATCTACAAGAATGTCTGTGCAAAATCTGGGCTTAATAGCTCATCAGGAAATAATTTAAAAATCTATTGCAAATTTTTGACCATAGTGACAGACACCATGAGTAACTTCAAAGCTTATAAAAATTCCAATGTTTTCACAGTGGATGAGAATGAAATGTCTTTACACAGGATAGTTGTTCACAAGACTATCACCATCCTTCCTAGAAACACATTGCATCATTGGTGATATGGCAAAAACTCACGAGAAGCTGCTTATATGAACTACTGACTTCCTTAAGGGAAATACATATTTAAAAGGACATTAATTGAGCTATCCTAATGGATTTAATAAAAAAAAATAGAGTCAGTTTCAGTTGCCAAAATAAATGACAGGTCATGCACTTTCACAAAAGGAAAGAAAATCAGTTTATTTCCCCTTAAAACAAACAACATACAACATAACATCAATCAGAAGCATACTCCAGCTGAAATAAAAGATTTAATTGCAAGCAAAGAATTAAATGCTAATCAAATTCAACAGAGGAATTTAAAGATGCCTTTTCAACTTCTTTGAGTAAAGTTGGAACTATAAATATGACACACTAGATTGACATAGGAAGTCATCTACCTATTAAGTAACATCTTCTGTATCTTCCTTTCACAAACAAAAAGTATTTTGAAAACTTTTGATAGTGATGCAGGAAATAGTCATAAGTTTTGTTCTTAAAATCACTATGAAAAATAGTTGCAGTTGCTGAATGTTGAGAAAAACTAGCAATGCAAAGAGGTAAACTCTTCAAATTTTTTAAGACACTGATTTAAGTTAATTACAATTTAAAACACCATAATAATTCAAATGCATTAATAAATTTTTAAGCTGTACAGTTGTAAGGAAATCTAATTTATCAAAAATTTATCAATGAAAATTGACAATAAAAATGGTTATTATATGCAATGAAATTTTAAACTAATCATGAAGTGATTTGAAATTCGTGGGCAAGTAATAAAACCCTTTAAAATTTCCAAGCAAGTCAAATTGTTTAAACTTTTATCACGTCAATTATAATAAAATGCAAGCTCCGTTTCATATTTCGACCCAATTTTTAAGAAATACGCATGTCAATATCTTGCATTATGCATAAATGAAAAAATAATATAGTTCAAAAGCTTATAACAAAACAACAGCTAAATATCCAAGTTTTCAACGCAATACTAGCAGTTTCTATGAAAGTGTTGATTGAAAGTGTTGAGTGTCTATGAAAGTGAAAGATGGCTTTCTGTGTGTTCCATTTTAAGGTGTCCAGTTCCGCAATTACATGCAATGTGTACTTAAGGCCTGATTTTAAAAAGATGCAGCAATATAATCTTTCATAAGTCAATGCTTAATGCCAAAAGATTTTTATCCTTCTCTGTAGCAACTCTGACTAGTGATCCATTTCTGGACACATAAGGAAACTAATTGTTACTTGTTACCCAGACTGCATACATGCTGTGGTATTACATTCTACAAATAGATACAGCCCCTTATTTTCACTGTAATATGCAAATACTTATCAGCTGTGATTTTCATAGTGCTGGACCACCAATTATCTTTTTCCCAAGCCAACCTATTAACCTAATTTTACCCCATACAGTTTCCACTTTAAGCATATTAAAGATAATATTTACATATTACCATTGGCTGCAACATAGTTGCCAAACCTGAAATATGAAAAACGGGAGGTTCTAGTATGAAAACCAGGAATTTCTGGGCAGTTTTCAGACCGTATAACAATACCATTTCAAAAGAATTTCAAATTGTCTTTGATCCACTTTATAATCCATGGCTCAGTTCATTAAACTACTTACAATACATGATTTGGATGCAAAATACGTTAATATTTAGTTAAATATTTGATATTTTATTTTCTTTAACTAATTTTGTAATTTCTTTACACCTTTATACTAAGTCTTCAGCACACAAAAAGTTATAATATATATATTATTATATGAAAAGCTTAGTAATGCAACAAATAATGAAATAAAAAATTAAACACAAATATTAACATTGATTATCGGTTGAATCTTCATAAAAAGTTTTTCAAATTAGATTAAGACAATTCAGACTAAATAAAATTTAATAAAAAGTTATGTTAAAATTCTTAGGGGGTGGAATTTATATAATTTAAATTTCATCAAATGAATGAACTTCACTTATTGCTGAAAAATGTTTTACTTAATAGACACTAAATATTTGAAATTAAAAGATTATCAGGGATCTATTCAGAGACATTGAGATGTAATGAAAAACCATGAGATTGGGTAGCTATGTCTATACCCATCCAGGAACTTGATGAGATAATATATGCAGTGCAGGCCATTGCAATTTATATGATACATTGAATTCAGAATGAATTTAATTACCCAATATACATGGCACAGAATGTGAACTTAAGAAACAACTGTAATCAAATATTAGTTTAGATAGTTACTACTGCTGATGATGTATATCATATTCCCATAAAGTGAGAAAGAAATTATTTATTAATATTTAAAATCCCATCTTTGTCTTTTGTACCTGCCCTGTATAGCCAACAAATTAATACACAGAGAAAGAAAAAAAATTATTTTAACAGACAAAGCACATACCTCATTTAAACATAATGTCAAAACGTCATTTTTCTGTCCTCCTACAGACTGAAAATACACAATTATTAAATTATCTCTTTAAATGATAAAAAGTTTTACATTATATTATTTTTAAAAATAATAATATCTGGTTGTAACAAAAGTTTTCCACCAAAAAAACATTAATAAAATTAAGGGGGGGGGAACAGGAAAGCAGTACCTTTCGCGCAGTAGTAATCACCATTCAAATCTATGATTTTCTGCCAATGTTTTGGTAGTTTCTCAAAGGCTTTGGCCCGATAACTTGGTGGCTGCGAGTTCAAAAACAAATCAACCTCATTTTGGACGTCCTGTGCAGAATGGAAGATAGCACCAGCAGGATGTAGCTGCAGATGAGAAAATAGGCCGAAGTTTGCAGAAGCAATGTCAGAGCTATATGGTGGGTGTGGCAAAAGATCCCATTCTAGTCTGTACAGAGCCCAACCACTGAATGCAGATATGTGTGGTCTTGCATTATCTTGATGGAACATTACCTTTTTGCTCTGGAACTTGGCTCAACATTTTACCTTGATTGCAGCATCAACATGGACTAGTATCTCGCTATACACCTTACTGTCAAGGGTTTTACCTTTTCTCAGGTACTCTTTGTGGATAATACTATGGCAGACCCACTAGATACAAGGCATGATCTTTTTGTTAGTCACACTGCACTTTGTAACGCTGCTAACGGGCTCACTGGTTGCAAACCATTCTTCTTTTCGACCTGTGTTGTTGAAGTAAATCCACTTTTCATCATAAGTGATGATCTGATCTAGAATTTTGTCCTTGCAATGAGAGCAGATTAGTACAGGCCCGAACACGTCTGTCCTTATCTGCTTGAGTCAGCTCATGTGACACCCAGCGATTGAATTTTTACGTCAAGTTTATGTAATGCATAGTGTGACTAATGAACATGGCACTAACATCTGACTCCTTAGCAAGCACTTGAGTGGTTGCATACTGATCTTCTTCTACAAGTTCTTGGCTCATCAACATCAGTAAGCTGGACAGAGTGCTCTGCTTCTTGAATGTCATAGTCCTTGTTTTACAGCTTTTGGTACCAAATCATATGTCATATGATACTACATTAGTACCTAAAGCTAGACACATGATTTTGTGACATTCTGTAGCTGACTTTTTGCAACAGAACTGGAAGTAAATGATGGTTCTAATCTGGTAGTGTGATAGTTCCATTTCAGACACCTTGTACTTAATAATAACAATACTTTTTTTACAAATTTCACAGTATTCTAAAGCAAGTCTCTTTCTCTCAAATGCCAAAAATTGTTTGACAAAACATAATTAAACACGGCAACATGAAATGTTTGTACAGACAATCTTTGCTGTGGTGGGAAACTTTCATTAAAACCCGATATTATCTAATGAAGAAACATTTAGTCATCTGAATAACATAAATGGAATCAAATTTTATAAATAATCATAAATGATAATTAATATAAGATGAAAAGAAAAATACATACACTTAACTGGGTTCCTGTATTAGCGTCCCAGAAAGATGTTTTTCCACATGAGTCACCACTCACAATGGTCATGTCTCTGTAATAACAATATACATATCTAGTATTTTCATCTTGTATAATTTTAAGTACCAAAAAAAAAAAAAAAAAAAAAAAAAAAAAAAAAAAAACAATGCAAAAGAATAAAAGAAACTCTGTGCTTCTGAAATGTAAAACGCTTTTTACATTTCAGAAGCATATGCTTTTCAACCTATGTCGACACTAAAAGGACCATGAGGGGACAAGAAAAATAAATAATTTGAAATTCTACATTTTGATATTCAGTTGACTGTATAAAAATTCTGTTGTACCTTAAAAAGTAAGATTTCACACAAATATGTTTGTAATAAAAAAAGGTGTAATTATCTCAATAATAATAAAAAGCAGTAAAATTATTACGGTTCTGCATACTTATTATTAGTAGTACAGAGCCAAGCAATATTAATTACGATCACTGAAAAAGCAAAAATCTGTGCAATGTTGATTGATGCTACTTCAGCTGAAAACTCAGATAAAACGGAAAGTTGCAACCATTCCAAATTAAAAACTACCGATTTAGTGTTGCCAGTATGTATGAATTTATAAACATATGAGAAATATATTATAAGATCATTTTTAAATTCTCCTTTCTTTCTGAGTCTAATACTAAATAAAAATGAGGGAAAAAATTCTCAATCATTTTTTTAAAGCTATATCACTTCTTCTATGACTAACAGCTGCAACAGTTAAAAGACCAAAAAAATTGTATAATTGCATTTATATTTTAATAGAAATGGTTTGCTTTGCATTGAGATTAGAATAAGTGGTAACAGGGGGAAAAAAAGAATTTTGTAACATATATAATTATTTTTAAGATGGCCTCTCTCTCTCTTTTTTTTTAATTGCTGTTGTGTTTTACAGATGTCCTGCCACAAAATTCAGGGATTGCTTCAGCGTAATTGCCTACAAATGTAGTATTTCCCTGCTTTTACACACATTAAAGGTTTGTTTCAATAATATTTAAATTGTCTGAACGTGAAACAAATTTTCTCAGTTCGTGCTATATTTGTTTTAAGTAGACCAAAGCCATTTTTCAAACTTTTTCCCCCTCGCCCATTCAAATATTTGTTAGTATATAAGACTGTGCAATATGCTTCCTTTTCTTGCTTGCTATTATAACTAAGATAGAGACTTAATGAACTAAAAGATTATATACTTAAAAATTCTAAGTAATGAAAGAGTAGAACATGTGTACATGATAAGTATTTGCGACACAATGAAAATAACTAAGCTAGGGATAGACATATGAATCATGTTCATATTCCAACCACAAAACATTCAGAAATATGTTTTTAAAAACTTTTTAAAATTAAAGAAAAGTAGGATATTTCACTGATAAGGTTGCTAAGAAAAACATTTTGAATATATTATTACATCTACCAGAAAATTTTAAGACATACACATTAAAAAAAATTTATGTTTGAATATCCTAAGAAATACAAAGCTGAACATAGGAAGAATGCCAGCTACAGATTAGTACAGCAAAAATTATGAATTCTTGCAACATATCACTCTATAAAGATTTATAATCTATCACACTGCACACATTTAATTAGAAATAACTTAAAAATTTTTTCAATATTTACTTTGTGATTGCTAAGCACCAAACAACTGTTGCAATGTTTTTAGCTGATCGACCAAGGATTATTCGATTTATAACATGGCCTGTCTGGACATTCCATATTCGAATTGTATCTAATGAGCCTGTCACAATTATTTGTCCTTCTGTGTGCCAGGCTAAAGATAGGATGCACCCTAGAAGAAAATTCATAAGCAGAAATTATAGATGAATTAAAGAGCATACATATAATTTACATGCAGGCACAATATAATGATAATGTACACCAAAGTTATTAAATATTATTATCTATGAAACATTCATTAATATAACATCTACCTGAAACTAAATTTCATGAGACAGTTGATTTTTGACAGTTGACATTTAAATAGTGTTACATGCAGAGTTGAATAATATGTTATTGTTCTAGATCAACAGGTTCCTAATCTGTGCTCCCCAGAGCTCTACATGCACATCCAAAGGGCTCCTTGGCTACTCCCAGAAAATGAAATAAAATATAAAAACTGAATGAAATTAAAGAATAAGGAAACAAGCAAACAAACAAAGAAACAAAACAAAACAAAAACAACAAAAAAAGGGGGGGATAAAAATTCCAAGAATTTAGAAAATACATTTTGAGCAAGATAACTCGAAAGTTGAATCACTATGGAGCTAACAGTCTGAAATACATATCCAGCAGATGATCCTTGGCAATTCCTTGGAAGTGCACATATGAGAAGCTTCTTGTTCATTTTTTATCTTTGAAAATTCTTGGAGTCTATTCAAAGCTTCTTGAAACTTAGCTCCATGTAAATACAGAGGCCTTATTGATTTGGATCACTTTGCAAGCATTCCATGGGTTTTCAGGATGTTTAATTTCTTTGTGATACTTAGTTGTGTAGCTAGCAAGTTTCTATAAATAAAAGTAATAATAAAAATAATAAATTGTATCAAATTACAACTTTTTGAAATCAGACTCAGTATACTAGTCTGTGATAATGGAAAGCTACCATCAGTCACTTCTGCTGCACACTGAAGTTTGTAGTTGTCTTTAGGAAAAGCATTATCATATTTGATGAAAGTAACAGCACAGGTTGTAACAGTTTTTAATGAACCATTAATGCGGTATTGACGATAGCTTAAAATAATGAAGCCAGGATGTATAAAATAGCATACTAGACAAAAGTTTTAGCAAAATGAATAAAATAAATGGAATTTGTCATTGTTAGAGAAATTTGCAACAATTTTTTTGTGTGTCTTCTTTCAAGAGGATATTTATGTATTGATTGGAGTGCATGGAAAATTAAGATAATAATTGCAACTCTCTTACTTCTTAGAATATAATAATATCAAGATACTCCCCCCACCCACAAAAAAAAAAAAAAAAAAAAAAAAAAACTGTTGAGGCACATCTTGAAGCTTTGAAAGCCTCATTTGAACTTTATTTTCCCTCATTTCAAGAAAAGGTGCTTGAATTATTTTGAATGAGTACTGATTCAGACAGAACAAATATCTATTCAGTTTAATTAACTATGATGTCCTCAGATTTGGCATCTCATAGTGAACTAAAAATTACATTTCAAAACCAAAATTTGCTGCAGTTTGGGCTGTATACAATATGAATTGAAGTTCTAGTCTGAGAAAGCAAAATTAGTGCTGCGATGTTTCTCAGCTACATATCTCTGTAAAGCAGGATTTTCTGCCTATACAGACAGCAAAACAATAGGCAGAATCCATTTAATAAAAAATTCAAATAACAAATAATGAATAAATATGCAAATATGTATTTGAATTCAATTGCATACAATGATTAACTTGCAGAAACCAAAATTACTGGAATGAGCTTAATGATACTCTTAGCAATAATGCAAAATACCTGGTATAACACAAACTGAACTTTGGGAGAACCCTTTACCTATGGCTAATTTTTTACATCCTCAAGTTGTTGAATAAATTGAGATATTACAGTAAATTTAAAAACTTTTAAATTTCATTTAATACACATTGAACAACTCTTTATATAACTTCTTATTTTACATTCCTTTATAACTTTTTCCTACTCTATAATACTATTCTTAAACATCACTAACTTATAAGACATATGATACTTATTAGACATATGAACTGATTCTGTAAAGGGCTCCAAAAGCCAAAACAGTTAAGAAAAAGTCTGCAATTCAGACATCCTGTATTATGAATAATATAGTGAATATATAGAAGAGAGCACACAAGCTGTATCTGTGGTGTCGTAGTGTAGAGAAATAACTATAGGCAGAGCTAAAGGGAGAGAGAGAGAGAAATGATAGACAAGTCTCGGAACAAAGACCCATAAAAAGGTAATGTAAAATAAGAACTGATACAAAAAACGTGTTATGTTTTTATACAGTGTAACTATTTAGTAAATAAAAGATAAAAAAAAGTTGTGATGTTATTGATAAAAAAAGATTAAAAAAAAGTTGTGATGAGTTGTTTCTCAATTCCTATTGAGCAAAATGGACAAAAGCATGAAGACTAAAGAACTGATATGAAAAATCAGAAACAGCTAGCAAGAATAATCAGAACAAAGCTTAATGACAGGTATGCAATCACAACACAAATGAGTAAAAAATTTAATTTCTGCCAATGATTTTTATGGATATCATTGCATATCCATTACACATCAAGAACAATGTCTTTAAAGCTGTTCTGCTCATTTAAACAGTAATGGTAAGCTATGTCACTGCATTATTTATAAGGTTTGGTATTGAATATCATAGATCAATTATGGCTAACTTGGGTCAGATTTGAAAATCAGATTTACTTTTATTTTATGAAGAGCTGAAAGAAATATTTACCCCAAAATACAATGTTAAAGATCTGAAAATGTTAATTGCAAAGATTATGAAGATTTATTTGTTCACAAAGTTAATCAATGTAAAGCAGTATAAACTTGAAACAGAGAGCAAAAAGACTGCAGGGAATTTAAACACAACAACTCCAGCATGAAAATAAGAGATAATTCCTCCACCATTACTTTTGATTATTATAAATAGATTAAAAAATAAATTTAAAAAAATGACATTGACTTATATTCAAATATATTTCAACACCAGCTTCACAAAATGAATACTGAATACAAAGATTATACAGTAAAAAGTCTGCAATCCAGACATCTAATAACTGGAATGAACTGCACCTCCTATAATTTTTTCTTTTTTTTAATCTATGTGAGAAATATTTTTCTTTGTCCATAATGTAAGAATAGAAAACATCATACTTAAAATAGGGAGGAAAATATTAATGGAATATTGGAAGAAAGGCAAAGAAATGTTAAATGAAAAAGATAAACTTAAGTTTTCCATTCAGAAAACTTTGCTCAATTATCAAACAAACTAATCACCAATTACACATGAATTCACCATCCAAGCATCAATTCCTTAATTGACAATGGAATTTTTAGTATGGTTTTAAATTCAGAAAATATTTCCTTTTCTTTTCGAATTGCATTTGAATTTCATGAAAAATTAATAAGTAAATGACAGAAAATTAATAATGGAAATAATGATGCTTGAATGTTTGAGAGTAGCAAAACTCAGATTACAAATTATGAACTATGAATTTGACAAAATCAATGAGAAATTTTTGGGATTATAGAAAAACTGAGCACTAAGCAACCTGGATCTCCCCCCCCAAAAAAAACAACTTGCAAGTTATACTAAATTTCTCAAATTAACTAAGTTTGACTAATTTCTTCAGATGATTTGTACCAAAACACAGGGAAAGCAGACTGATAGTATTTATTTCCAACAGACTAATTTAGCTTTCAGTACTTGGGAACACTGGTGTTCACTTATAAAAGATAAATTGATTTTTAAAGTTATAGTAGCAGTTGACAGTGCTTGATTTTAAGATGTTCTCCATGTAATGAATGTTCTTTAATAGAGTTACTTTGTATCATTTTTTTAATGAGTATTTTAGAATATCTGATATTTTGAAATATAAGATTGTAGAAATTATCCAATACAGATACATTAACAAAACTAACAAAAAATATGAAAAACTGAAGAACAGCAAAAAGCATTTGATACGTTAAAAGAATATTTAACCAGTCAGCTTGTCACTTATTTAGTACTAAACAATCCTAAAACAAAATTATGAACAACAAACAACAAATTTATGAAAATATATAAAGATAAAAGACATACAAGATTAGCAAGAATATTATTATAAAAACAATGTATATAAAAAAACAATGCACTGTGTATGTAATAAAACAACAGAAGCTGAAAAGGTTATTATCGGAGTAAACTGGCAATAGTTTATACTTTGACATGACAAATTTTAATTGGAATCAAACAGGCTATAATTATGAATTGCCAGGTAATATCATGCCAATGCATTAAATAGATTACAGTTGATAAAATGAAGAAACTTTGGATTCAGTCATTGAATATAACTTAGAGACATACACAGGGTTGATGATAAAAGAACAAGTTTTATAATTCAGCATTGAGATTCACAGTAACAGAAATAAACAGACAATCTAAAGTAAAAAAGCAAATGGTAGAAGAAGGACAAAAATATAAGATCAAAACTAATGATCTAAAACATGATTATTTCATAAAATGAAGTTACCTAATATATCTAGAGAGGGAAAATTATTACATTTTTCCTAAATCAATGAGGAAAAGCATTATGACAAAACTTCATGATTTCTTTACACATTTTTCATTACAAAGAACTTGCAAAAATCAAGAAGCCTTTTGTAGTTATATTAGATTAATTGCCTAGGACCTTTGCGAAGAGTTCAAAAGGCAAAATGCCTAGGACCTCTGCGAAGAGTTCAAAAAGCAAAAGTGACTTAATTGTAACATCTGACAGCTTTACTAAATTTACATGTTTATGTTCCATGAAAAGAAGTTCAGTTAAGAATATGTTGACTGCACTAGAAAATTTCATAAATGATTTTGAACAGCCAGAAAGAATTATAAAGGACTGAGAAATGCATTTCACAGCAAAATAATTTGAAATGTACTGAAAGATGAATTATGCACATATTAATTTAAAACTCAATATCTGTAGTGAATGGAAAAGCAAATTGAACTAGTTTAGTGACAATCAATATCAATATGGAGAATCTGTGTCAAAAAAATCTAACTATGCAAAAGGAACGTACATAATACTGGGAAAAAAATTACAAACACATCTCTATTTAACCTACTCCACTGATGTTAACTGAAATTTAACGATAGATTGATAAGAATGGCTGCAGGTACAGATGCAAATGAATGGCAAGATTCTTTAATACTATAGAATGAAGGAAAACAAAGGACTGAGAATAGAAAGGAAAATATCATGGCTGATTATGACCACAATGAAATAATTCATTAAATATGGAAGCAGTGATAATAAGAATACCTAAATTGACCGAGATTTAATTACAATACAGCTGAAATACTGCAGATATTTAAAGTCTCATCTGACAACACCTACAGAGCTGCTGAATTAGAAGAGAAAACGAATGGTCACTGCTTCAGTATGGCAGCCCATGTGAACCAGATAAAACTGTTGACATGTCAAATTAAATCAGAGGAAAAGTAGAAGGAGGATGGTACCACATTTGTAACTAAAATAAAAGGAGGAGGAGAAGAAAGAATGGACAGTCAATCAATTAAAAAATACTGTATACCTCGACAGTGAAATCTATTTTGTTGTAGATTTTTCCAGTGTATTTTATTTCACATTGTTTAGAATATCTAAGTTTTTTCCTGCAAGTAGAAACATCTTCCCTCCCTCCAATTTATTTTTTACTTTTTATTTTAACTGAACTTGTAGTTTCAAGAAGGTGTATTTTAATCTGCTCACATGAGTAAAACAACAAAGGTTACAATTCTGTTTAAACATTTTGGCTTTTATCTTGATTCAACTGTTATTTTATAACAATAGGGGGACTGGAAAGTAATGTCGCTTTCTTACATTAAATTCACATGAATAAATTTTTAACACGTTTTCATTTTTAATCAATAATGTAATCACCCTCGTTATCAATAACCTTTTGCCATCTAGTGTGCAGATTTTCAATCCCCAGACCGATATAAATCAATTGGTTTTTGAGTAAAATATCTCAAGATGGCTCTTTGGAGATCATTTAAATAAATTTTCAAATTTTTTGGCATAAGAAAATGTTGTAGGGATCGGAATAAATGGAAATCCGACTGTACAATATCGGGCGAGTATCGTGGGTAATGCAGCACCTTCCATCCCAATTAATTCATTTTTTCCAGTGTCCGTCTTGCACAGTGTGGTCTTGCATTGTCGTGTTGCAGAATGATGCCTTTCCTATTGACAATTGCCGGATATTTTTCGATTAAAGATTGGTTCACGCTATCCAATTGTTCAGAATAAAGATCTGCATTAACCGTTTGTCCAGGTTTCAGCAATTCAAAATGAACAATTCCTTGAATACTCCACCAAACACACAGAAGTGCCTTTTTGGGACGTAAACCCTTTGTAACCCATATTAAAACTTCCTTTTGCATTTTGGATTATCATATAGGATCCATTTTTCGTCTCGTAATCAAATGATCAAAAAACGGTTCTGTATGGTACCGTTGAAGCAATACTTTGTATGTGATGGATCAGTTGGCTTTGTACTCTTCGGACAGATTATGGGGGGACTCAAACACCTGCTTTGCTTATTTTTCCATTCTGCTTTAAATGTTCTTGGATGGTCGACCAAGGTTGGTTAACAGTGTTTGACATGGATTTGCTTCCACTTCTGCCCTTAGCATGTTGTTGTCGACATGCGCAGAAACGACATTACTTTCCGGTCCCCCTATTAGTTCTGAGGTGGTAATAAGGTCAGAATGACTTCATGCTATTGTAACATGCATGTTATTTTAAAGAAATAGTCCAGTAAATATATAGAATAGTAGGCATTTGTCTTCTGTAGCAGCCTTTGCATGTTCTGCACTGACAAGAAACAAATGGTTACCAATCTGGATATGTGCAAGAAACAAAGATTTAATTATATCTGTACATGTGAAAAATAAATGGTTAATGATTTGACATGTTTTTCTTAATTGCATCATGTCAAAACAGCAGGTTTTCACTGTGAAATATTAATTTTTCTTACCATTTTTAATTGTCCATGTTTCGAAAAAGAAGCTTTCATTGATATCTGAGGCATTATTAGCAGAAATTGCCAAACTGTGGTCACCAGAAAGAGATTGTAAAAAAAAGAGTTTTTTTTGTGATATTTAAAAAAAAAAAAAAAAAAAAAAAAAAAAAAAAAAAAAAAAATTACTAAGAAAACTATATTAAATAAAATAATAATGATAATTTTCTGTTATGTTTAATAATAGAATTTTCCATTATGTTTATATATGTTGTTATTTTAGACAAATTACTGATAAAATTGTATTAGATACTATAATAAATGAAAATGTACATTAAATTCCTTCTCTACATATATATTAAATAACTTGCATGGCGTAGATACTGAATAACTTGCCAATTTGTCTTTTAGTGTAATCAATTTCACTTTCAAGGATGTGTGTGACATTTGGCAACAAATGCACTTTCTCAAGCTCAAACCTCCACCAACTTCATTTTCTTCCCCCAAGGCTGCTACAGAATATGCCAAATAGTGGGATTCCAGCATAGATCAATAACTAGGAGCAGGGCAGAGATTTGGATTTAGATATTATTAGTTAAAGCTAACAAGGGCTATTTGTCCAAGGACATTTTAAGGAAAACTGGCTTGTATTCACATTATACATAAGCAAAAACCATAAAAATTTCCATGCACTTAGCCCATTCATCAGGACTCAGGTTGAATTACCAGCATTCAATGGTTTTACCTCTCAGCCACAGGTAGACATCGAAGACATAGAATGTAGAGCTAGAATAGGTTAGGGTTTTGTTTACCAGCTTACTTTATTTAAAGTAACAAATAAAAAGCTGCAATTGCTATCTTATTGAGAAAAGTAAACATTAACATGATGAACTAAGGAAGTGGTATGAAAAGTCAGAAATAGCTGATAAATAAAAATAACAAACCTTCTTGTTTATCAAACTTTTTTACAAAATCAAGACCTTCAGGGGACATATCATGTAAAACAACATGGCCATCTTCATTTCCAATCTAAAGCAAAGAAATAAACTTCAAGAAATTAATCATAGTTAACAAGAGTACACAGTGCAATATAACTGCATCAGCTAAATTTACATAGATCAAGCTAAATAAATACTTCCCTTTGAATGATTTCAAACAGATAAAAAATTCTACATTTAATTTTTGCCCATTCTAAATATCCAATAATAAACTGAAAAAAGCTAAGTACTAAAAATAATAAAGTTCCTAAAATTAAATGAAAAGCATTAGAAATAATGTGTGACATTGATTAAACTTTTGATGGTAGAGAGCTCAGCCCACATTCCAGTTTTGTATCACAGTGTGCACAAATGAACACAGCTCATATTACAAATTTATGACTGACAGACATTGAGCATACCTGGGAAGAAAGAATTGTTTAATCTCATAACAACTGAAGGGTTAAAGCCAATTTTATGTGTGCTAAAGTCTTTTGTAAAAAGGAATAAGTAAATTATTAAAGAAAGCAAGTACTGAAAGCTTTCTACAGCATCTTACCTAACAAAAGCAGTGGAAACACACTTGATTTTAACAATTAAATTGAAGTACAATTTTATTTAACCCTTCGCTGCATGGTGTGCCCGGTTTGCGCATAAAAAAATTGAATGAAAAAGGATTTATAGGTTACTATAAGTTACTCTGAACCTTTGTTATTTATAGTAGATGGCAACTCAACACAAACCAATCCATATATTTTAACCATGTTTAGTTTTTAAAGACCCTCACATTTTTCAAAGAAATCTTTCAGATTTTTTTAGAATATAAAAGGAATTGTTTGAAAAGAAATTTCTATACTTCTTTTTTGTCTGTATGCTAATCTCCTTACTCTATATTAGTTTTAAATTGTTACCTTGAAATCTTGCCTAAAATCGAATGGTGAACATCAGGTGTGCCCAGAGTGGGCTCACTAAGAGACTAGGACACCTGTGAGACAGTATCTTTGTTTTTCTGCAGCTCATCGGTCAGTGCATTGACAATAGAAAGATGGGTCCCCATCTGTGTTTCATTTCCTGTTTTTCTTTTTCTTCTTTTTGGGGGGTGGGTGGGGACCTTTGTTTATCAACTAAGAAATTGTTGGGACAATTTTTCTGAAGCTCAGGGGTAATTTTATCAGTTAGCTGTTTGGTTTTTCACTAGAGCATTTCTCTTTTCCTCTTTCACTTTTGTTCAAAGAAGTTTTGTTAGCGCTATGTTTAGTTTTGAGTTGTAGACATTTATTTTATTTTATTTTATAGTTTCTAATTGCAGATATAATATTAATTTATTATTTTCAGATTTTTAATTATTTCCCAAACGGATTGGGAAGAGGGCTGACCATCTCAGAAGTACTGAAAGTGCTACATGAATTGCTTTCAGATAGTATATCTGATACGGATCCTGGTACATGTGCAAAACATGCAATATTGGGTTGTGTTTTTTCAAGGTGGTGTCACTTTCTTCAGAAAGTACCACCATGAAAAAAATAGACCAAAGTGTAAATATGAAATGTAAATATCATATACTTAAGTTACTTTTTTTTCCCCATTCATACTTATGTAATCATCATATAATCAGAAAGAGCTTTTTTAGGGACGGTGTAGAGTAGCAGTCTCTTCGTGGCACATCCTGGGTAATGCCAAATCTGCTACAGTATTCAGAATCTAGTGTTTTCTAATCATAGGCAAAATCTTTTACTCTTTTATGTGCAATGCTTGTTTCAGCACTCTTTTTCAAAGCTCTATTCAATCAGTGTGCCCATAGAATTAAAATGATAAGTGATATATCTTCACAAAATTTTACCTGTAGGCCTAATTAGACTGCCAACCTTTTTTTTTTTTATCGAAATTCCAACTTTAAAAAAAAGATAGCATGCTGGAAAGGGTCAAACAATCAAATTAAATTTGATTCTAATTCATTAATTCATTAACAAAAAATAAGTCCAACGGACTCAAAAGCTTGTGCAAAAAACACATTTCCCATGTTTGAGAAGACCAATACACAGAAATGGATAGCAAAATAATTACATAATCCTAAGTTTGTAAGGCATTCTTGAATAGAAGAAATTTTTCATATTTTGAATTATTAAAAAGATATTAGGCAATTACAGAATCATAATTTTAAGATCACATGCTTAAGGCCTATTCCTGAATGTGAAGTAAAACAGTTCAGAATTTTGCAGCTTTTAAGTTAATGCACTATGTCACCCCCTGAAATGTATTGCTTTGTTTGGCATATGATTTCTTCATGCAATTATTTTTTATTTACCGGAAATGTACAGAAAATTAAGTATATGAAAATAATTTTTGCTTCTGCAACAGATATCTATTATGTAAATTTTATCATAAAAATTAATTAATATAAAACTATTTAGACGTTCTCAAAAGGAGAATAATGCTCTTGATAACTACTTTGGTACACACAGCAATTATGATACTGATGCTATTATAATTTTTAGATTCTGCCAATACATTAACAATTAACTGAAGAAGCACCTTGCTAGTTTTAATTTTCATGTCCTCATAAATAACTATTCTCCATAACTTTTCCTCTTAACATCCTAAACATACTTATAAAATTATACACAGAACATGCATAGTGAAAACTGCTTTATAGAATTTGTAGCAATTTGCATTATGTTACGTGGCACAATTGACATTATAACACAATGCCCAATACATTACAATATCTGAATGCAAACTGAAGTAACACATACCAAAGATAAGTGTTTAGACCTTCAAAAGTTAAAAAGGTAAAAGTCTAGAGAGAAGGAAATTTTTTAGTTTTCTACTTAAGTTGCTAAAATAAATGACATGAACATTTCTAAGATAACACAATTACATATGTAATTATTTCAAAATACTTTCTAGTGAATGATATTATTTAAAAACAGCAATGGTAATCTTTAATAGTTTAAATTGAGTAACATTAGTAGTCTAATTGTATTCAACCAGTAGAATGAAATTTTGATGTTAAATTAATTAGCTTGAAAAATCTAATTAGGCATTAATTTACAATTTGAAAAATTTAGAAATACAATCTAAAAAACGTATTTTATAAGTTAATAACAAGCAATGAACATTCACAAACTTGAAAAGGACATCTGGCTTGTTTAAAGATGTATAAAATTCAAATGTGAGAAAATAATGTCTACAAAATTAGCTTTTTTATTTAATGACGTTATAAAGAAAAAGTGCAGTAGGATTCTTTATTGCTGAACTTAATGATAAAGACGCTTAGAATACAATGGTGTGTATTCCATGGTTACAGAAAATTCTTCAAACTCAGAGTTTCCATCCTAATTTGATGATAATAATATGCAAACTGGGAATCTTGGCTACCAATAATCAAAGAATATTTGACTCACCTTTGTTTTTAAAGACACACTTTTACACATATTATACCATTTTCCCTATAACCATACTTTTTCTCTCTTACTTTCAGTATTTATTCTCACAAATAACGTGATACAGAAGTTGTCCTGCTATTAAGTCCTTATTCACGAAAATAAATATAATCATGATAATGCTAGAAAAATGAATGATCCTTATTCCTTTGGAAAAGCAAGCTATATTGTAAAGTAATAAAAACTGCATTTATTCATTTCTCACTTGTCTTTTGTAGATTCAGTTTAAATGCTGGAATACCTTACTTTCATATACATGAAGAAGAGTATTAGCATGCAATATACTTTACTTTAACAGTGTAATGTATAATGTACTGAACAGTATAGAATATTTTATTTTGAAATATTCATAGAAGCAATAAAATAAACTTTTCTAAAACAACAATGATAGAAATTTTCCGCATATCCCCGGCCCAACAATTATATAAGAACAAAAACTAACGGAAATACTTCATTTTTTCCATATGGTGAAATCTATGGAAATGTCACAACTGCAGGACAACAGACTAAAGATTAAATGATTTTGAACCCATTTAAGAACATACTAGGACATTAATGGAGTTTTAATGAGTAATATAAGTGTCAATGTAGGAATTACAAGTACAAAATACACTCAATTCAAAGAGATTGCTCTCTGATAAGTTTGATTAAATAAAAAATCCATCTTTGTTTGCTGCTCAATGATTTTATTTTCAGTTATATAAGCAAGAATGTTGTGTTAAATACAAAAATTATTTTTTACTTCTTAAAGCAGTTTATTGAAAGCATTACTCATTTTTATATTTACATTATTACTTAATTTATTTTTGTGCTTATTTTATTTACAGAATAAAACACAAGGGAAAGTTAAATAGAAGCTTAAAAACTAAGAAAAGAATATGGAATATACAAAGCCAATACTCCAAAGTCATCATTCAGTATTAATCTAATATATATTATGAGCCTGTAGTGTAACATTTAATTTTCTAACCAATTGTGTTAAGTTAAAATACCTTTAATATCAAACTTCATTTCACTTCCCTGCTCATTGCATTCCTGCCCATGCAGTAAATTTCCAGCATTCACAATGTTCAAATTAAGTAGGAAGAAAGAAGTATTTAAAGGAAGGTTTTCAAGGGTGAAATTAGAGCATGTTCTGCCCACTTGAAGGCCAGATTGCTAATCTTAAATCTCAAGCTATTAGAATTCTGTGGTGCTAAGTTATTCTTGCCATTAGGCTTGCTTACTCCAACTTCAGTCAGAGTCAGTTTGGACAATAGTTAAACTGTTTAAGTCATTAAGCTGTACTTAAACTTCAATAATTTTAAGTTATTCATTACCTTCTGATTGAAGACAAAAGTATTCGTTTCAATCAATTTTACAGAAGCCAAAAGTGTTAGCTTCTATAAGCATGAGTTGGTGCCAACTGGTAAACATTATTCAAGTTAATAAAGGGTTCTATACACCCTTCTCCTGATCCCTACACATGTTTTGTTTCATGATAACAAAGAATACATAATAAATTTTTAAAAATATTATTTAAAATTCACTCAGGGAGGAGGGAAAAAAAAAAAAAAAAGCGAATATAAACAAAACCAAAGAAAGCTACCCCATCAATAATCTTCCAACA